TAAATAGGTAAATGTGTAAACGACTAAGAGTTCCGTTCTTTGGTCCGCTTGGGGTACTCTATGACAGAAATGGAAACTGTCGTAGTGTGATATTTTCTTTTTCCACTGAAGAGGGGAACAAAGAAGAGCTTTTGGAGGTTTTTGGCAAGAGGATGGTGACTTGCCCGGAGTCTCTTTACCCAAGTTTTTGGGTTTTTTGGAGTTTTCAATACACAATTACCAGTTGCTTCATAAGCACCACTATATCCATAGGTACAACAGGAATTTGACGTCAATGTTGAGTATGCAATATATATTCCATCCGTGAGGTATTAATATATATAAGCCACAATTTTTCGAAGAAGGATCAGCCTGAATATGATAAAACAGATATATTCTTACGGCGCGCTCTTCCAACACCAAGTGTTGGGTCTCTCAGCTTGTTTCAGACTTTTTTAATGTGACCATCGTAATTTTCATGTCATTTAACCTCTAAAAAATCTATTTGCACGGCTGTATCTCTTGCATGCAACAGGCCCATTCTCAATTATGATTCTTGGGTGTAAAATTACACTTGCAATCAGGAGAATGAACCTAGAAAGTGTGTAAATGTAGTTAAGAATGTGCTTTTTTTATAGATCTTGACTACCCCACAAAGAAAAGTCCAAGCGGGCGCGAGTTTTTGATATGGTTAATCGGTAATATTGGTGGAGATGAGGCTATGGCTGGAAAAGAATGTGTCGATTATGTTGGTTGGCAAGATTCTTTAAAGCAGGATCGAGGTAAACAAAAAATTTTAATTCCCTCTTTTTTTAAAAGGAGACCATGCAACATTTAATCAGAGCTTCATACCTTTGTTTCCTAGCGAGGCATGTAATTTAGTGCCAACGTACTTTAGGCTATCGATTTTTGCGATTCCCATTGACTCATATCTATTATCACTGAACCATCACATAAAGATGTATGATGGAAAGTATTTTACTTTATTTTATTTTATTTTATTTCATTTTTTGTGCGTTCTGATTTTATCATGAAATTTCAAAGAACCCAAATGCTATGAAAATCATACCTTTTCTTTTTCAGATCTGCATAGGTACATAGTAACAGTTTTTGAACAACCCGAGAAATTTCCGATCAACTTTACCGCAACTNAGGCGTTCACCCCGTTTACTAATTTTAAAGAAACTGGTTTCTTCATTCAAGCAAAAGTTGGCTTATTTTAAAACAACGTTTATTTTATTTAAGAAAACACGATTCGCTTGTCTCAAGCGAATCATGTTGTCTTGCATGAAGAAAACCGTTGGTTTCTTCCAAGTCAAACCCGTTTTGAAATAAGTAAAAAATCCAAGTAGACGCGTTTACTTAAATTCAGTAAATCTTTTTTCCGTGTAATTATTTACAATCGGAGTGAGTTCTTAAACTGGATTGCTTTGCCATAAGGAAGTAAATTTGCAAGTCTGTAATACTTGCTGTCTGTACTAATGTCTTGTGCTATCTGAAATACTCAATCAATTCTAAATGCAAAAAAGGCGTCGAAACAAAGAAATACGAGTCTTGCAATTGAATTATTACTTTATGTTATAGAAAAAAAAAAAAAAAAAAAAAAAAAAAAAAAAAAAAAAAACTCGCCGTATGCAGTTAGACCACAACGGCCGAGGTCATTTGAATGTCTCATTGCATTGTTATGATGTATGTTTTTTCTGGATTTTCTCGGAACGGATCAAGTAATGAACCTTTGACTTCACAATTGAATGTATTTTATTTCCGAATCGACCGTTTATATAGTCTGTACTCACCGATCAAAATCCGAAATCCGAAATCGGTTTGTGTGACCGAAAATTTACCTATACGTAGAAAATCCACTGCATACAGACTTATTTTGCATCAGCACGTCCATTTATTAATAGGAAAGAATAAAACTTTATTTACACTAGAAGAATGATACAGAAGATTTATACGTTACTCCGCTGATGAAAAAAAAAAAAAAAAAAAAAAAAAAAAAAAAAATATTTTGACGGAAAAGAAGGGGATAAGGCTTAGGGACGCCCAGTGAAAGGGTGGCCACAGGGACTTTAAGTGAAATGAGGGAGTGTCAACTCTCTTAAAGGCTGTGCGAGGATAGGGTGCTGTGGCGGTTGGGTGCCGCAGAGCGCCAGAGAGCACTGGAAACGCGGATCTAGTGCGTGTAAAAAGGGTTTAGATTCAATACCGTCGTGAAACTCTTAAATCCTTAGCGCTTTACTGATAATCGAAGCTGGTATTTTTTTTCGTGTGCTCATTTTTACATAAAAACTAATCTCCTGCGTGTTATATCTTTGTTTCAGGGGAGCAATTCAAAATAGAACAAAATTTTCAACCCGCAAATTTGCTACTTCATATAAATTAGGAGACCCCATCGCTGTAGATTTTGCGTTTGTGAATGTCTCGGAGCCTACTGAGTAAACTTATTATGCCTAATTTAGAGTAAGAAATTGATATTCAGATATACTTAATAAGATATTTTCATTCTATGTGGGTTGTGGCGCATTAATGCGAGGGAAAAAAATCATTTCTTGTGAGACAAGAGCCTATCTTCGGATAGCATGTCCTCAAGACAAATAGGAACTTGACATTTAACTATTTAGATAGAGCAGTCGAGAAGAAACTAATTATTTAATCAAGTTTATTTCATGACCTCATTGACACAATTTCTCTTCCTACCTGCCTTCCATAATATAAATTGGGTATTCAATAATCATGAAAGCGATTTTGAAGAAAACCCAACCAAAATCAGAACTGATTTTGTAACAAAGTGCAATATATTATTAAAAATCACATTATGTATTGCAATATTTATTTTTAAAAAAGTATTCTTAACACTTAGTCACACAAAGCTTTGAATTTTCAAAATGTATGCGACTCAAACAAAAAAACAAAAAATTTATAAATGTAAGTACATTTTGTCGAAAATAGTTTTACCTAAATTAGCCTCATCGGAATGAGACATTCAAACAAATGTCAATGAATATGGAGGCAATTTTTAAACCCATCCTAAAAATAATTTCGGGCTGAATTCAAATTATAAACAAGTTGGTTTTTGCAATCGCTAGCGATAGCAATATTCGTCATGGGAACTTTTGCTTCTGGGATATGAAAATTTCAAGGTACAGTTCGTTTGTAGTATCTTCAGAATTGAAGGGGCTATGTAATTTTGTGTCGACATCTCTTTGTAACATTTTTAATTTTTTTTCTTTGCATACAAGAAAGCTGTTATTTACCAATTATTTATTTTCGTTGGATTATGTATGGTTTTTGGAAGTTAACGCATTTAACTTTCTGTTTCGTTTTTTCGGCGTAAAGTATGATATTTTTACTCTACGCATATGCCCGAATACGCATCATAACGACGGTGAAACTACCAAACCACGTATCTCGTTTGCGGTGTTTAAAAACCTCCGCTCACATTTTATTTTTTTGAAGTAGACCAAATCAATATCATTCCTTGAAATTTTCACAGAATTTTCTCCGCACGAAGAGGAAAAATCACGGAATCATTTTCAAGACTGGACGTTAAGTAGCTTTTCATTTAAAAAATAAAGTATGACAGAAAGTCTGCGACGTCGCAAACCGAGATACGTGGTTTGGTAGTTTCACCGTCGATAAGTGACCTATGTGCTTCCTAAGTTGCCATTTTTTTCATTCAAATAGATGTAACCGAAATTTTAGATGTGTACTACCTTTACTACTTTCATGTCATTGCTTTATTTATTTATTTACTTTTTGCGTAGGTATAAATTGTTATTTTTTGCTGAATTTTGGAGAAAATATTGCTTTAAGAACGTGGAATGTAAATTAATTTTATTGAAAAAAGAGAATACCATCATTAATTTGGGCGAACAGAGAAAATATACATCAATATTTGGGTCAACATCTCCCTGATTATATAAAGGATGAATATATTAGTATTTCTGTATCAAAAAACTTAGCTTTTGTCTTCAGAGACACGATGATTCTAGTCCCAGTCAATTTGTTGTATTGAAAAAACAAAAAAACAAAAAATAAATAAAAAAAAAACAAACAACTGAAATGTTAGACTTACTATTTTCATGTCTTTCTATTTGTATCAATAGGTACTTTTTGCTTAACTTACGAACGTTGAATGCAAATTAACTTTATTGAAAAAAGAAAATAACGTCATTAATTTGGGGGAACATGTGGCTGATTTTATGAAGGAGGTATATTCCAGTATTTTTGTTTAACATATTAACTCACGAGAAAATGTTCGTACATTTATCATCTACTATTAATTATTTTTTGATGATTAGTCTAAAACATTCAATACAACCATTAAAAAGTAGTTCCCATCGTCGGGTATCAAACTCCCGATCGCCGGGTGCCCGCACCTGGTCAAAAATACGAGGCGGTTTAGTCAACTAGGCTATAACGGATCCACGGCAACGGGTGTAAAAATAGCATACAAAAGACTCGGGCAATGGGCGGGACTTATCACAAGAGACCTTGACTTCTTTTGGAATATGAAGCCCATTGCTGTAGGAGCCATGGTTCGCACTGTTTTAATGCGTCTCGAGGTTCAAACCAACACGCATTCCGATCGCGGCAGTTGAGCTAAGGCAATATTTGCGTATCCATGAATTAAATCAATCAATCGAGCTCTGATTTTGACTTCTTTATCCGTAACGAGTCCTCCAGAACAATTTTCCACCTTGTACGATGGTTATTATTTCTTTACTTCTATTTTTCAAATTTGAGGTGGGATAATGGCGGCTTCTCAAGAACACCGAGGTAGGCGATCTTTTGCACCAACGAACAGAAAACTGATGGCGAAAAATAACCAATCAGAACCTCCCAAAAAAAAGAATTTGCCTAAAAACGGAACTTCGTGGTTCTGCGCAGATTTACCAGTCAGACACGACATCTCAAGGTGGAAAAAAACTCGCTGAAAGCGAATTTTAGAAATCAACACAACTTGACGTAGAGACATGATTGGCTAAAAAATACAACGGTTTTTGATACATCGGAAAATCAACCAAAAATCGGAGACTGGGCGAAACGCTCAAGGTCGCAGAGGTATAGGGAATCCCATAGCGAAAGCAACGGAACGATTCTAATATCATGGGGAACTCCGTTCCCATGACAAAAAATCAACATTAAAACTAGACATGCTTTGTGATTCAATGTAAGGATGATCGGTGCATTCTGAACACTGAAATGGAAATTCTAAATAAACTAAACGTTGTTAATTTTTATACAGAGTGAGATAATCTAAAATTTCGATCATTTTCTTCGACTATTTCAATGATTTGGCCTTTTCTCAAAAATTACTAACAAGATGCTAAAAGCTCAAATTTCAATCTCATGAGAGTTACTTCCCTTTTTTATGTTTGACACCCCCCTTCCCTTTTCATCATTTCAATAAGAAAATCAGTGCCTAGGTCATATGCTTGTAGGAGAAGAATATTGTTCAAATGTCGATTCTCACATTTTTTTTATATTTTCAAATGTATTTCACATCAAACCTGATCAACACGTTATTTCCCAGTCGTGTTCATATATACGTGTGTATTTCTTTGAGCTCGGCTATTCTCTTGTTTTCGTATACATGTGCAAATTACACGTACTTTATAGTTTGCTCGAGGATTTGGCTGCGTTCAACTCAATGATTCTCCACCGTACATATGATTAATGTTAGGCTGATAAGCTAGTTGGATTCATTTAATTAATTTGATTTATGGGCATAATTTGGAGAAAGAGTAGGAACATAACGTGACATTTATTTATTTATTTATTTATTTATTTTGGGTCAAATTTGGAGAGCTATTTGATAACTTTTAGGGTATTGACGGAGATTTTTTAGGATCCTTCTCCAAGCAATTTGTTCCTCCTCCAGACAATTTTGCTCCCCCCCCACACACACACTTACACACCCTCACTCACACTAAGATTTCCCTGAATTGACGCATTTGTCCTTTAAAAAATGTTCTCTATAATTCAGTGAATATGTGATTTGAATTTTGAAAGTTAGAGCTGCACTGAAACTGTTTCCAAGTACCTCAGGTTTATTTAAAGTTGAAGAATACCAAAATAAAAAATTTTAAACGACAGACCATCCTGTATAGAATCCAAGACAATTTACCCAATTCGATCACCGAACTTTTTCGAGCATATTCGCACAATTGAATCAGTGAGAACGAAAACACACCAACTCGAAAATCTGAAAATAATCAAGACACACACAAAACTGCACCCTGGGTGAATAAGTTAATCTATAAGAAAAATATTTTCGGTGCCGCCGAAAGACAAGTACGTAAGGACGCTTTAAAGGTCAAAGGTGGAGCAGAAGCGGTCACTCCTATGACTTTTTTGAAAATTGACAGTCTTTAATGAAAATTCATCATTTTCGAGTGCCGAGTTGGTGCAAATTCGTTCTCACCGATTCAATTCAGAGGGTGCTTTAATTTGTGATTTAGAGAGAGATCTGCTTAAATTCATAGATATACTACTCAGATACCAAGTCTCACAAGTTTTTTTTTTATTTTTTTTATTTTTTTTATTTTTTAAGATCGCAGATCATCATTAGAAGAGTAACTAAAGAGATCTCTCGTAGTCAGGTTTCAGTATTATAAGTTCAAATTGAAAGTCGTCAATTCCGAAGGCTCCGATGTTGTCGTTGGTTGGAGCTTGACCCATTCACAAAGGGAAAAGCTGACCGCGATGGGGTCGCCTAAATTATACTTCTCAGCAAAGCGTCGAGTTGAAAAATTGCCTCTTTCGATGTCATTTGGCCTGCGAAAGAAATGAAACATTGATTTTGAAGTCGGCGAGTAAAAGTTCATTGTATTCTTTTTGATAAGAAATATTTCTTCATGTGCGTTTTCTTCTCTTTCTTTGTTTGTTTTTACCTCAATAAGATAATCATGCACTCCACTTGAACAACCTTTGTGCTAATTATTTTCTCTCCACCATCAAAATATCCGAATATCATCTGATTCAGAGGCTGGCCAAAAAGCCTGCTCTTTTCATTTTTTATGCCAGCTAAAGTGGCATTGAAGATGCAGTATGCGTATAGTCTTAAAGTCCTCTGAAATGCCTTTAAAATGAGATCATTTTGACTTCTGTATGCCAAAAATTATCCGACTGGCGGAGTTTTGAAAATAGCATGTTAAATCGTCTACTAGAGGAATCAACTTCTGGAACTTAGATTGAACAGAATCGTCAATTGAGTCAATATTTGACTCACAAAGGTCTTAAAAATCTCATTTTCAAGGTAATACTCGTAGTAATAAAAATAAAAAGGAAGATTTTGTCTATCATATTGGTGTGAAAGAGACTCCTCACCTAGTTATTTCCTACCCATCTAATGATTTCACTACGAACAATTTCCTCAGAAAGTATGGTTGATGAAATATAGGTAATAATACTAAAATATCGCCTTCCACATCACTTACTCAGGAGGTAAATATTTTTCCTCGAAACGTATTCGACCAGTTGGCTGCTTGTAAACCAGGAAAATATAACGATGAAAGCCTGAAAAAAAGGGATAACTTAGCCTTAAAAGTTTTTAATTTTTAATATTCACAAATGTATAAACAATCTTCTACAATGAACTGGAGAAAACTTCTCAGCGTGCCAATGTGACAAAATAGGCGAAGGTAGGATGTCTATTCTGATCCAACCAATCACTGTCAACTGTGACAACAAGTGATTCGTGATCTCTTTTTTGTTTGTTTCAAGTTTCCCACTTAAAAGGTAAAGACGACGCATAAAGTGATCTTTCGCTTTGTTTGTTCATGCATTTGCTGATTTTAAAATTATACGTAGAATTGCTCAGCTAAGACTTTCTCATGGACAAAATATGTGCTTCTCTTTACCTCCCCAATGAGCGGAAAGTTTCTTATATACCTCAATACAATTATTATAGAACTACACTCACCAGTGCCATTTTGTGGATTTGGCGGAACGTATCTAGACATCATATCTGATTCAAAAATATCAGGTAAAAAGTTACCTTCCTTAACCACCACATGAATATTCCCAACCAACCAATGATGCCATTCTCGCATTGATGGCCTCTGTTTTGAAGGATAGTCAGGATCTACGTAACCAAGATAAATTGTCATGATTAATCTATAAAGCAACATCTATAATTCATTTAGCAAAAACCACCATAATATTCAACTTCCCGGATGAGCCAACGAGAATGCTCCCCGCTGGATCATTACATTTAGTGATATCTCATTACCAAACTCAAAAGTTGCATAGGTCATTGAGCTCATACATTTCAAAGAGTTAGTGAATTAATTTTACGAGTATAGTTCCAGAAGAAATGTTTCACTGGAGGCGTGCTCGACACAAACACCACCTCACACACCTCAAACAAAACACCAACCTCACTTGCACTCTGTGCCGTATAATTCGCACGTGCTTCCTCCGGTAAATTAGTAAGGGACGCTGATATTCAGATTGCCATCTAAGGCTATAGAAATATTACATCAATGAGTTTCGGCAGTCTAGATGCAGCCCCCGCTACCTCACTCAGAGTCGATTATTTGTAGCGGATTCCAATAAATGAAAAAAAGTTTTATCTACTTGCGAGGTATATATATGAGTCGCTTTTATAGCGCTCTTTGGCGCTGTGCGACGCCTAATCGCCACAAAGCTCGGTCTTCCCACAGGTCATCAGGGAGTTGACAATCTCTTATCTCATTTAACACCCCCTGTCGCCAACCTCTCACTGGGCGTCCCCTACGTCTCCTCCCAGGAGGAACCCAATCAAGCATCTTTTTTGGCAGCCTCTCTTCCGTCATCCTATTGACATGACCATACCAAACAAGTTGTTTGGTCATGACGTCGAACACGATGTCATTTTCGACTTCCATTATCTGACGCACTCTATCATTACGGACCCGATCTCTCCTAGAAATTCCTGCTGACCTTCTCCAGAAATCCATCTCCGTTGCTCTTAGCATATGCTTTTACTTGCGAGGTTCGTCCTCGAAAACAGCAACATAACTCCGCATAGGCTGACACTTCAAAGCGTTTCTCGCATATTCTGAATCCTAGGAGCAAAAGTTGCGCTCTAAGTGTGTCGTTAGTAATTAATATTGCAAGAAGACAGTTCCGACAGGAACATGCGCGATTTCGTCTTTTAGACTTCCAATTTAAAATTTTTCTGAACATAGGTTATAATAGTTAAACCATATTTTCCTCCGTATGCTGTCCTGCTGAAGGGAATCATATCACCAATTATTGACAGGCTTCCAGAGACTATAGCCTTTAACTTTTTCTCGATTGCATAGCGACCAATAACCTGGACTCGTGTTAATTCTTACTTTTCTGACGTTGATAATATTTGTGCTCATATTTTTTTCCCTCAAACGCGCAGAGCTCGGTTTTAAAGTAAAATGAAACAGATGGGTTTACATAACTGTAGGTGCTTATATCGTCACCTTCAGGCCAAAGTATCACAAACGCTATGCGACGTATAATTTCCGCAGCAATTTTATTTTTTCATTGAGAAATCGTTCAACGATACTGTCCGAAAATTTTACTGAATTTTCTTTGTGCTACCAATAAAATTCAGTGAAATTTCAAACCAACTCAACCAACAAATTCTCTGTAAAAAAATTAAACGACGGCTGAAACTTTTAAACGTCACATGGCGTTTGTGATACTTTGGCCAGGAGACGACGCGATATGCCGTCTTTTCCGCGACATACTGCTCTGTTTTAGCAAGACAGTTGTAACAACCCCCAATGACGCTTCTTGAAAGTCGATAACACTGTTTTTGTCCGCGGTTTCAAATCCAGCATAAGTAACCACTCTGTGCGACGCAAGCTGCTTCATCAAGAATCTATTGTTTAACAAAAAATTTGGGAGAATAAATGGACGTATTTCTGTCAAACGGAACTAAGCGCCATCGGGGGAGGAAGGGAGAGGGGGGCTTGGATTGGCGGTGGAATCGGGCGTCGGGCTCATTCCGTCCTATACTCGCAATGCTTTTCCATGGCGCTTAGTTCCGTTTGACAGAACGCGCTATCCGGCATTCTAATTTCCTCAAAAAGAACTCAAATTGGCGCTTAGTTCCGTTTGACAGAAATACGTCCAAATGATAATGCTACCTTGCTATGCTCGCCATAGCTGGTAGTGGCCTAATGCAGTCGGTTCTCAGCAGATCGAGAGCCATTTTAGAAGGAAACATCTCTTATTGAGGACACGGTGCGAATGGACGTATTTCTTCTTAAAAAGGAACTGAAGGTGGGTGGGAAATATGGGATGTGCTCTAGAAAACTGCATAAGAAATTATGTAAGATTGGACGTGATTCCTTTTGTGATAATGGAATGGTGGGATTTTCCATTAAATGAATTGGAAATAAGCGCCAAAATATGCGGCTCTCATGAGCCATGAGCATGTGACAACAGGGCCGGATTTATCTACTTGCCGCCCGAGGGCCACCTGTATTTTGCCGTCCCTTTCTCATTAGTTTTGAAACATCAATAAAAACTATCAAGTAAAGTGCCGGAGGGGGGGGGATGCATAAGACGCGTTTACTCGTGTTGGAAACATTTTTTTGCGAAAGCCCTGTCGACACTACTATCAAAATTTCACGGAACTTTGCACGAAAGTTTTGTTCCGTGAACCTATATCTCTGTGTGGACAAGGCCTTCCATTTATAAGAAATGAACAAACAAATTATGAAAGAACAAACATAAATGTGGTTTAATTATTTAAACTTCTGTCACCGCGCCGCGCTGATTGCACTGTGTTTGACGCAATGTGTGAAGTATTCATGCAGTCTTGTAGGCGCTATGCGTTTCATGTCGACCGCTGCTGACCGCGCTGTGTTTGGCGCAATGCGTGAAGTATTCATGCAGTCTTGTAGGCGCTATGCGTTTCACGTCGACCGCTGCTCACCGCATTGTATTTGACGCAATGCGTGAAGTATTTATGCAGTTTTGTGGGCGCTGATGTGTGTTGCATGCCAACTACTGTGCCGAGGGCTTCTCTTTTTCATATCAAGTCCTAGTCATCATTGCTCTCTGCGCCGCGTCGTTCTAGACTCGACTAATTAAAGGTTCTGTCTCTTGTATCACCGCAAGACGACAAAATTAGAATTTACTATACTCTCTGGACATGAGACTACTCTCGCCTTTTCTTGCTTGTAATTTCTTTCTGAATCCAATTTTTTTTAATACTTACATTTAAAAAATTGCAAAATTTGCCGCCCCTTAAAATTGCCGCCATGGGCCGCGGGCTGCGGCCCATGTGGCCGACCCCTAAATCCGGCCCTGTGTGACAAGAGCGTGGCTGGACAGGGCACATGAGTTAATGCGGCATCGTTTCGATCCTCGAGCCCGGTCGCTGGTATGTTTTAGCAGAAAAAATGATACCGATTGATCTCTTACCTGTCATTATTAATGTGTACATAGATGCATTATCACAAGGCCAGTTCAAATGATAAGGATACATCCGCATTACGTTGGGATCCAAAATATTTCCGAGCTGTGGCATCAGAAATTTGGCCTTTTTGGCTTCGCTTTCACGAAACGATGCCTAATAACAGAGCATGCATCGGATATTAGTAAATTCAAAAATCACATAGAACAAAATAAGCATATCATTTTTTTCTCATAACCTAGGTATGCTACTCTTTCTTCATTGTAACTTTCTGTCCGGAAATTATAGGATAAAGGATTTGCAGGTGTCTGAAATTTGATGAATTTCGTGTTTAAGTGAAAGCTACTGAGTGAACTGAACACCAGGATACCCTTGAATTGAACAATTATTGGAGAAGATATGACAAAATGATCTAATCTGCTAAAATACGCGTGTTTAAATGGGAAATGCCGCCATATGACGTTGCTAGGCGGTGCATTTTTTCACTTTTAAATCTGTTTTTGTACTATTTCCCTTATCAGAACAAAATCATGAAAATACTGTGAAATCAACTCTTCCACCACTTTCAGACGAAGCAATAAAAAAATTGCATACAAATTCTCCATTACTGTAATTTTTAGTAGAAGTATTTACGACGAAGAACACGTCAGTTCACTGTTTCCTCGGAAATTCAGAAGGAAAATATATTTTTGAACTCTTAGGCTATTGCCTGTTATGATCACTGAATATTTAGAGGTCGAGGCTTGAGCTGGTCAGTTCCCAAGGCTTATACTTTTTTGAACTCCTGAACTTTATAGAGTTGTCAAGGAACTCAAAAGTTTCCTCATTATCGTGAGAGTGAAGTCTGTACTCGCATCGAGTTACTTTTCTAATATACTAGACGACAGACTCTACGCCAAAGCCCAATGGATGTCAGCAAATCTCTTGTATTGTTTCGTTCCACGAATTTTTCCAAGGATTTTACTTTGGATTCTTTTTAAGTCTAAGTTGGTGTGACCATGTGACCTGTCATGTTAACAGATCAAGGTGCAGGAGTGAGTGTGAAATACCTCAAGATGAGGCTGATAAATTAATGGCTACATGTTTACTTCTTAAGTTTCATATGGTGTTCCCACTTTGTGCACTCTATTTGTAAAAATAAAATAAAAAAATGAAAAAAAAAATATGTATATGTATATGTATTTGAAAATATTTGTAGATGTGGAAGCAACGTCTAAGTTATTTTCTAAATTGTCAAAATAGGCGGAAAAATACTATCTCCAGTTTCCCTGCTTCAGTGGTTTACTCACTAGGCACGGGCCTATTTACGCCCCCACCCTGCTTCCCTTGCCTCATTCCCCAAAAGAAATTGATTAACGGTTTATTTTTCTTTTTTTTTTTGAAAAAGCCATCTGCTTTCCGCCCATTTGGTATTTTTGCTTGAGAAAAGTGGTCTTACCATTAAAAAATGTTTTGGGGCCTTATCGATAACATCAGGAATAACAGCGTGTTTTAAAAGGGCTTCCTCTATTTCTGCAGCTCCTTTTGTGACTAGAGGCGGTATTGCTGTTGTAGGTGTCAAGGCTCTGATTCGCAAAACCCATAAGGCACAAAGAGCGTTCAAACTATATTCGAACCGGAATGCTCGAGTTACCTTTAAAGTAAACATCTCGTGACAGTCAAGTCATTTTTTGTTTTTAAACTAAACTCTGAGTATATTTTCGTGGTGATTTCAAGAAGGAAACGAATTCGGCAAAATCACTGCACAGCAAAGAAGGAAAGTGTCCACTTTTAGCCATCATGAAGCATGATTAGTTTCCTGGAACAGTCACGAGGTGCAAAAAATTAAAAAAAAAAAAAAAAACAAACTTGGGACTCCTTGCATGCCTAAAAGCGGGACTTTACACGTGTTTTACCAGCCATAATTTTTTGACTGAGATGATTACAGCCTCCTGTGCCTACTCCCGCAAGTATAAGTCATATCAATTGACTTAATTTGATTGTGATTAATGATACACTGACACAATTTCGTCTTGCCGGACTCTGAAGTTTTCATAAAAAAATCGATAACATCATAGTATAAGTGACAATTATTGAATTGACTTAATTTGATTGTGATTAATGATACGCAGACACAATTCCGTCTTGCCGGACTCTGAAGTTTTCATAAAAAAAAATTCATCAGTATCACTATCATGTCACTTTTTGTATCCCTGACATGGCAAAATTTATCTTCGTTTTTCTCAATTTCATGACCCTATCGAACCGAGACACTTGCATAAATAATACCGTTGATGTGTGAAAAATCAAGAGATTACAGTAGAGCAGGGCTTTCGAACTCACATTGCTCTTTAAGGATGTGCTTGAAGGATCATTAAAATTGAAGGCGAAATGAGACATCTGGTCTTGACTCCGAAGCGCATTAGTACATTATTTAGTTAGTTAGTTAGTTAGTAGTATAATTTTAAGACATTCAGCGTCTCAGGCCATAAACGTCTTTACAGATAATTTTGAAAATGGGAGTACAAACGAAAATTTAGATTTTTAAATTAAGAGAGGTGTTTCAGAATTTTGGTGGTAATATTGGGTTCATCGCATGTAAGTGGGTTTGTATTTCTGTTGATTGTAGAGCAGTAGATCTGTGATTGGAGATATCGGAGGGCAGAGCAGTCCTTAAGTATGTGTTTGATGGTTAGAGGTGATGAATTACAGAAGTTGCAGATGGGTTGATTTCCTTTGGAGATGATTTGACTGTGAGTGAACTAGTGTGACCTATCCTGAGACGCGCAATTTGGACTTCACATGATCTTGTTTTGTGGTTAGATGTTCTTGAATATGGCATGGGGGCTCTACGGAGAGAGGGCCTCAACTGAGCTAATACCTGAAATATGAATTTGTGTTCCTCAGGCAAGATGTGCCCACCTTAAAAGTGGAAATCAAAACTGGAGTCTGGCGAAGAAATTTGATCGGGGTCAAAGATTTCGTTTTTGCTTTTCAGTGTTAAACGCTCTTTAATGCACTCAAGACACGGAGTTAAAATTTCTGGTCATAAGAATCTACATTTAATAATGTAAGTGTGAGTGGCCCTTTAACGCTTACAATTTAGCCCTACTTTGGAGCTGAGTCGTTTCTATAGCTGGCATCAGTGCCTACAAACTTTAACAGTGCTATGCTCAAATTTTCCGCTGTGCATTCTCAAATTCTGTGTTGCTACCAAAGCTCAAATATTGGAAATTTTTGATATTTCTTGCGTTAAAGGCTGCAGAAATAACTCTTTTAAACTGTGGTATGGATCGTACGCAATACATCAAATAGATGAGGTTGCATCCATAAAGGTTAATATAACCTCAAATAAAGTCCATCGCGTAATCTGGCGTAACGGCTTTTTTAATCTTATGAGTACAATACGGCAATAAAAAGTGAAATTGATGAGAATTTTCTCGTTTTAGCTTATCCGGCTTAAATCCTTAAATTTTTGTTTCAGGCTATGCTTGAACCAAACAACACATCGAGCCATATCGAATAGGATCCATAGGGGTAATCTCACTTTTTCTCTCGCATCTAATCACATTTTCCCTGACTTCAACACGTTTTTCGAACTGTGTCTCAATACCTATTTTTCATTTTACTTTGTTATTGATGATATGCAAATAATAAAGACTGCATACCTATCTTGCAATTCATAAAAATACGGATCACAGTAAAACTGTCTTCAAGCGTTGCTCATCGTGTCAAATATCTACCTACGTAAACTTGTAAATGAAAAAATTAATTGTCTACTACGTTCTCATTCATTAATACAAATGCATTTTTACTTCTAGCGGTTCCTTCTGCCAGTTTTTTACCAATCGCGGAGGTACATACAGTTCGGCCATTATTCACAAAAGTAATCCAAACTTAAGAATGCCGTGTCGGAAGAATAACATGACTGATCGCGTGAAAAGCATCAGGTACAAAACTAAGAGAGTTTTAAGGAAAAAAAGGCGCGTTGAAGAGAAAAACGCTGAATTTCGAAACGAAAACTCGATTCAAGATTTCCCTTGCATCTGCAATCGAAAGCCGACAGGAATTTACTGTCATCTCTGTAGAGTTTACACACCAAATGCTCGGTTTAGACGAACATGTTATCGCCATCCACGCACTATCAATCATACAGATCTGCTGGAGTGTCCAAATTGTTCTGAGGTGACAGATCTCCAAGAGCTTCGGGAAACAAATCCACGCTGATTTTTCGTAGATATTGTTTTCGTCCCTCCGGTATTGATTTTCAACTTATCTCATCGTGTGTAACATGTTTAAGTTATGATTGATATTTCCTCTCGAAACTGTTGTTGACACTTTTTTTCTCAGCATGTGACACTATGATTGTTCTTTCTAAGTTAATTATTTAGCCTCAGAATCAAATATTACGTACCCAAGAATCAGCATTCTCGTTTCAATTGTCAAAAGGAAAAATTTAAAAAAAAATCGTTTTCAGAATATTATTTCGTAACAAATTTGTCATCCGTTTTTAGACAAAAGTTTTTCTCTAATCATGTATAAATAAATATAATCCCTCAATAAATGAAAGTAAAATGTAGAAGGAGGTGATTGGCTCATTCAGCGGCGTAAACTTCTAGGTGTTTAGGACGCTTGGTACCGCCCTTTTCCATGACCTGCGATTCTACCGAGGAAAATCTCATATTCAATTGCTCCTCATATATTTTTCCCCGTATTTTCCTGCGAGGAATTTGTGATTCAAAGATGTAGCTCTCATGAGAAATTTCAGTCCATTCCACAAAACGTGCGTTGTTACAAGAAACTATAATGTTTTGCAAGGAGTTGGCTTAGTAGTTTTAGTGGAGAAAAATGAGTTAGGAAAAATAAAAGAAAACTGATCGAAAAGTGTAGTCTTTCATTTAATCATTATTATCATTATTGAAGCAGAATCAACGAAACTACGTGAATAATGCCCAATTGCCGCTTATGTTTTATTTTTAATACGTAGCAAAGTAAACAATGTAATCTTCCAAAACTCTCCTCAATTCTTCCTTAAATTATAAAGAGGAACTTTTCAAATGGTGAAAGTAAAATGCAACATTTTGTTTCTTCCTCTTTAAGTAATAAATAAAGTATAAGAAAAAAGTAAGTAAAGTCTAAAGTATCCAATTTGAATCCGATCAAACCCGCCCAATCATACGTTACTTCACCCACCTTTCACACAGAACTGCAGAGTTCAAATTCCGCGCTTCGAAAGTACACCTCAACCAACAATTTAAAAAAAGGAATGATTGATTTGATTCATTATAGAAACTTGTGTCCCATTAGCTTCCACATACAGATGGGTATTTTAATGTATGAGTTATAAACAAGGGTTACTTTTTGCAAATTGTAGTTCACTGGCTTTATCATAAAATCTCTGGATAGTATAAACTTATTGTATCTTATTCTGATCCAAAGCGCTGCATGGACTATTAGCCACAATAAAAGTAGGAAATAAAATATAGCACAGAGCAATAAATTAAAACTCGCACAATAACAATCATATTTATCCATATATTTTGAAAACTAAAATTACTTACATGGTTATGAAATAAAATAAATGTAAATGACAAGAGTAAAGACGAGGTCAAAATCGATATTCTTGTTGAGGAAAATCCCTTGCTAGTGAGGGGGAATTTTTTGATACTGTATAGTGTCAAATGCAGCATTTAAATAATAATATGTAATATGTAAAATATAGAGGGTGTCCCAAAAGTCCGTACCCCCCCCCTGTAACTTTTGAACGGTTAGAGATAAAAAAACGAAACTTTTTTTTACCACTAAACTAAAGATTGGTAGGTGTAAGCTATGCTACATGAATCTGCATGCCTGTAATCTGGTAGGACAGACAAAGGAGCACCTCGAAGATACGTTCGGGTGATTCTTATCACTTAAAATCAAGCTTATCCGTACGTAGCAAGCTTTTAGGTTCGTCATCGCTACTCGCACTGGCAGTAGGACAATTTTGTTGTAATCAGTGTGTTTTCTGATTTGATCGAGTAACGTGGTAAATGCAAGTTTTCATGAGCGTGTTTTGATCGTTACGCATTTGCCTCTGTAAAAGTTTTGGCTTTTAAAAGTGAGTGCTTCTGTTTTCATTATTTCGATAGTTTCTCCGCTTTGTGTGCTTTTTTTGAACTTTTGAGTGCTTAATTTCATTGCATTAGTGTATGCCAAACTTTTTTTTTGCAAGAGGGCACTTTTAGCTCCATCACTGATAGCTTTCTTGCTTGTTGTGCTTTGCCAAATTTTGACTAACAGCTTAATTTGACTGCACTACCGTCGGTTTTTTGCCTTCAAAATTGTGTGCTTTGGCTCCATTTTTTGGTATACTGTTACCAAAATTACTGTACTGTTTTTTTTCCTTATTTTGCTTCGACTTTGCTTCTGCTAACAATGCTTTTCTTTTTGCGTGTGTTTTTATTCTCGCTTCTCTTTTCGTTCGTGTTTATGGCTCGTTCTAACGAGGATAGAGTGGAAATAATTGTGCTCTTTAACGGCGAGTCGGGTAGAAATTTTCACGAAACTGTCCGTCGTTTTAATGCGTTGCACCCTGAACGTCCCACAACGCGGAAATACATTCGCGACTTGATCGAGAAATTCACAGTCACATTTTCTGTAAAAGATGCTAAGCGTTCGGGGCGACCAAAAGTGTTAAACGAAGATCAGGAAATTAATCTCTTAGCTGAATTTGTCACGAATCCACAGCAGTCTATTCGCACAGTGTCGGAACGGCACGGCGTTCCAAGGATGAGCACTCAACGTTTGCTCAAATTGCATAAATTTCATCCCTTCAAAATCAGGTTAATTCATGAACTTAATAACGAAGATGACCCTGATAAAATATTACAATTTTGCGAGGAGATGGAAGCAATGGTCGCAGCGGATCCACATTTGGTTGAGCGAATTTGTTTCAGCGACGAATCCTCTTTTTTCCTGAATGGCGTAGTGAACCGGTACAATTGCCGTTTCTGGAGTACCGAAAATCCGCACGAAGGTAGAGAAACGCATACCCAGTATCCCCAGAAATTGAATGTCTGGTGTGGTATTTTTGGGGACCATATCATCGGGCCGTTCTTCATAAATGGAAATCTAGACGGTCCGCAGTATCTGACAATGCTGGAGGATGCAGTTGTACCAAAAATGATAGAAATTATTGAAAATTCACCTGAAGATTTTAACCCGTGGTTCCAGCAAGATGGAGCACCTCCGCATTTTGCACTACCAGTTCGCGCCTACTTAGACGCAGAATTTCCCGGGCGCTGGATAGGACGCCGCGGATCGGTTGAGTGACCCGCGCGATCCCCAGACTTATCACCGTTGGATTATTTCTTGTGGGGCCACCTCAAATCGAAAGTTTTTGCAACACCCCCTCGGGATTTGGAGGAATTAAAACAGCGGATTACCGAAGAGTGTCGACTTATCACCCCACAGATGCTACGACATGTCCGTGAGGAATTCGTCAATCGATTGTTCTTCTGCCAGGCTAAGAATGGAGAACAGTTTGAGCAAGATTTGTAAAGCCACTTTTGGTAAGATTTTTTATTACTGGAGCTATTTTCTCATTAAAAGCTGCATTATTTTGCATGTTAATTGCATGAGATTTTTTGCGAAAACTCTCGGCGTATCATTTCATTTTAGGAAGTGTGCCCCAAGCGAGAGGTTGATTCTCGACGAGATGGAGTTTAAGGGGGGGGGGGAAGGGCAACCGTGGAGGCTCTCATTTTTCTCATCTGTCCCACAAGTCGTTTAAACACCAAATTTGCCGTTGAATTTTCGTAAAATACGTACTCCTCGAGCGGAATTGGGGGGGGGGCCCAAAATTCGACTTTTTGAGGGTCCGAATCCCACCTTAAATTTTTTTCCAATTACTGTCGCACCCAACCTTTAAAAGTACTCCAAGTCTGGTAACTTTTCCCGTTTCATTTGTTTTTTTTCGGTAATTTGAGCGGGAGTTATGATTTTTTTTAAAATAGTCAAAATTTGAACTTTGACTTGCCATAACTCGGTGAAAAATTAAGATATCGACCTGCGGTTTGCGCCAAAATTCTTAGTTTTTTATCCTCTTTCGAATGATGTATCACAAAGGGGGGGTTGCCATTTGAAAAAAAAAGTTGGGGGGCCCCCAGCCCCCCTGACGGGCCCCCAAAATTTTTGACCCCCCCAAAAGATGCCTCCCTTTAAGATAGAAACATTCCAAAAGTTTCGTTTTTTTATCTCTAACCGTTCAAAAGTTACGGGGGGGTACGGACTTTTGGGACACCCTGTATAAGAAGTGTGTGCTGAGCCTCATCTTCGTAAGATTCATATTCGTCCTCAGGATACGTCCATATTGGGTTCCATTCTGTGAGAAAGAAGTTGGTAGCTATGACACTATGACTGATAGACAACTACACCTGTTGAAATAGAGTGAAAGAGCGAAATTAACAAACTGAAAATAAAATATTGGTAAACTTTTGTGCAATCTACTTATATAATCTGAGGGTCTTGAGAATAAAGAATTGTAACAAGATTATTGGCATTTTCTTTACAGTTTAATCTGTTAATATAATTTTCATAAACAATAATGAGAGTCTTAAAATTTGAATTTAGAAAAAGAAAAGATATTTCAGAATGAGTGAAATTAGATATGAAAGGATTCACCAAGAGTCCGTGAGAAAAGCAGTTGAGTTGAGGAAAGATAGAACTTGATCAAGAAGAAAATCATACTTGAAGCCAGAGTATCCTTGAGACATAACAAGCCAAGACCAAAAGATCCGATCGGGTCGAGGCTCCCGACGAGATTGAAAATGTTAACCAAAAGAGAGTAAGAGCTGAAGCGTTATCAAAAAAAAAAAAAAAATGAAGAAGATGATGTATGTTGTTGGGAGATAAAGTGGATTTTTATCGGTTTATCAGATCTTGGAAATTCAGAAGAAAAAGATATGTTTCAACTCTTAGGCTATTGCCTGTTATGATCACTGAGGATTTAGAGGTTGAAGCCTGAGCTGGTCAGTTCCCAAGGCTTACTCTTCTTTGATCCCCTGAGCTTTTCAGAGTTGTCCAGGAACCCGAAAGTTTCCTCATTATGGTGAGAGTGAAGTCTGTACTCGCATCGAATTACTTTTCTAATATACTAGACGGCTGACTCTACTCAAAAGCTCAATGGGTGTCAGTAAATCTGTAGTATTGTTTTGCTTTAGGCCTTTTTAACCTTTACTCAACAAGTGCGGGCCTATTTACGCCCCCACCCTGCTTCCTTTGCCTCATTTCCACAGAAAAATGACTTGAGGTTTTTTTTTCTTTTTTTTGAAAAAGCCATCTGATTTCCGCCCATTTGGTATTTTTGCATAAGAAATGTGGGCTTACCATTAGAAAATGTTTGGGGGCCTTATCGATAACATCATAGTATAAGTGACAATTATTGAATTGACTTAATTTGATTGTGATTAATGATACGCAGACACAATTCCGTCTTGACGGACTCTGAAGTTTTCATAAAAAAAAAATTCATCAGTATCACTATCATGTCACTTCATGTATCCCTGACGTCTGGGCAAACTTTATCTTCGTTTTTCTCAATTTCATGACCCTATCGAACCGAGACACTTGCATAAAAAATACCGTTGATGTGTGAAAAATCAAGAGATTACAATAGAGCAGGGCTTTCGAACTCACATTGCTCTTTAAGGATGTGCTTGAAGTATCATTAAAATTGAAGGCGAAATGAGACATCTGGTCTTGACTCCGACGCGCTTAAGGACGACCTGTTTTCGATTGAACCGAGATAGATATCCCCGATATCCGATCTTCAGAGAAACTGCAAAATCAAGCTATTCACTATGCAACGTTGCAGATTTATTGTCGTAAATAAATTTACCGAAAGATGATCAACCAACTGTGACACTTGGTCTATTTGTTTAGTTTTTTTATGCCGTTTTTAAAAGCGGCAAAATTTTCTCACCAAAATTTCCCACCTACGGAGGATCCTAAACGAGAATCAAAAACTGTTTTCTTATAAATTATGGGACCCCTTACACCCGAATTCTCTAAAACTGGGCAGAAAATTAACTATTTTCTAACGATTTTTGGCCGATAACTCGAAAACCGTTGATATTCAGGGTAGCTATGTGGTATTTATGAGTACTTCAAAGGAGATAAAATTGCGCTTATTATCAATTCAACCCGTACTTTCTCTGATGATGAATGGGCCCAACACAGGGTTTTCAAAAAACAAAATTCTCAAAATTTCGTTTTTTGCTTGTAACTCTTTTCAAGAAATTTTAGAAGATAAGTTTACCTGTCTAAAATAAATTATACCCAAAATGCTACAGTTTTAAGTATCAACCAGACCGGAAGTCTGCAATGCTGCCAAGGGAGATACGTGGTTTAGGACTTCAGCCAGGAATATACAGAATTACATTCTTTAAATGCTTAATACTAAAAGTTTAAATGTGTCTACAAATTCTGGAGAACTTAGCCATCGACTACGGAGGTTTTAAACCTAGTTATCAAAATACTAGCACCGCAAACTAATAAGTTTTGCAATAATACCTCACATACAACACAAACGATTCTTTTCAAACGTGATGGATACTTGATTTTCCAGAGTAGTTTTCACAATAATCGTTTTTAAATATATAAGAACCATGATGCGCTGACTTTGATTAAGTATTTTTGATGACTTGAATTATTACACTCCCTTTTTCTGATCGTGCCACTCATCCTCTCTTTCGTTTAAAATTCAGCTGTTGTTTAGAGTTTATTTCATTTTATTTACGTCATATCAATTCTGTAAGTGACCAATACATGCTGATGATTTTTTTGAACGATTGATAGCGGCTATCAGACATCTTGTAATATCATTGATCATGGCGTGATAAACTCTGCTTGTATAAAATCCTGGATCATTTTCCATTCTTTACCCACGGACAGCGTGTCGCGCTTTTACAGTCTGCTTTAACATGCTTTAAATCTTACTTATTGGTGATTGTTATGATGTGTTAATATTTATAGCCGTGAAATATTTTTCTCATCGTGATGTGATTGTTGCCTCTAATGAAAATCAAAGGCTCGATGAAGCATGGCCTACTGATGATGGTAAACTTTAATGGACTAACTTATTGCCCCGGATAACCCAAGCTGAAAACTTTCCCGGGAATATTTTTTGGGGGTTCTTTACAGCATAACACATTTTTCACTTTATAGTCAGAGTGGAAAGAGAAAAATACGTTGTCATGATAAATTTGATACTAAAGCAAGAGGCAATCTCATTTTTGGTTTTCATAAATGGTCTTCTCATTAATGCGACCGCATGCAATCATTCAGCCATCGAAGAGATACATACCATTGCAAAAAGACTTAGACTTTACCCTCATGTTATCAAAACCATTCCTTCGAATATCGTTGAGGTAAAAACTTATCAAGCCTCTTCCTATAGAATCAATGATAAGAGAAACTTAGCATTTTTTTTTTTTTCATTCGTAAAAGTGACAGTCGTTACTTTCGTCGTTACTTAAGTCGTTACTTAAGTCGTTACTTAAGTCGTTACTTTTTTTTTTTCTTTCTTAGAAGATGACAATACTTCCTCTCTACCCTATCGGAGCGAGAAAGTAACAAGTAGCTCCCGCTACCTGCTGGGGTGGGGAACTCCCCCCTAGACCCCCGCCCTGCAATATTCTTTATCAGCTGAATGCTTCAGCATAAGAAGTCGTGCGGCGCCATTAAATCTGCCGTTTTTTATAACTCCCAACATGTACCGTGATACCTTCTTTTCAATTGAAATATTATAACCACATTCATTATCACCTACCTCGTATAGTGGTTAATTACATATAATTTTCACATTTCACATTTCTTTGAATTCAATCAATCTACTTCCATTGGCTCTTCCCCTAAAAAAAGATTAAGAAACATATATTAACACGACATCCTTAATTGTATAAGTTTGTAAAAATTAAACAATAACCCATATAAATAAGCCTATGAAAACGTTGAACAAATAGTCAGGATATATGATATTTTATTTAATTTTGACCTTCTTTTTTTACCTCCATATTGGATTGTTAAACGTTACCAAATTATGGCTAAATGACTAAAAACTATTCCAAAAGAAGGAAGAAAATTCTACTCGTAGCATTGCTAGATTTTCTTGGCGCATGCATGCGAAATGTTGAAAATTGTTTCAATTTATTTTTGAGGATTATTTTTTAAAACAATATCATCCATACCAAAATGTGTAAATATGTGATGAATTTCGCTGTCACCAATACCACGATAAATAAAGTAAGTGATTAAAATTTCAAATACCGTGTTTTGACTAGTACCCTGTTCATTCTCAAATATGAGTGGTGTTGAATAAACATCGTCGAAATTTTTAGCCTCAGCTGTAGGATTGTAAAGGCGTGATTTTGTCCTCAAAATTTGAAAATGAGTTAACGCTGCTCAGCAGTATGTAAAATTTCAATCCTTCTAAGTCCCCCAATTCTCCATTTTCTTCAATTGAAGTGGTCGAGTTAAATTTTGCTTCTTATGTTATTTAGAGAGGATTTTTTAATTTAAGGACTTTCGGAATTGAAAGTTGACCCATGAGACAACTCCTGTATCAACTATTTTTAAGTCTGTTAGGAGGTAAGTAAAAAAGCATGAGCAAAATGGCGGAAGAAATGAAGAGTTAATCAAGTTGCAACAGATTCTGTGGTAGAAAAAAACCAAAAATTAGTCCAAAAAAAAAGGAAATAATCCTCAAAAACCGAAAATTTGAAAAACTCCAACCATTTGAAACCACACTGAAAACATATTAGTCATCCAGAACCATCTACGAAAAGCATCCACAAACGGAAAACCCATTAAAAAAAACAGAAATTATAAAAATTGCAAAAATTCCGTATCATGACTAAGAAAACCGCGCTAAAAACATACCACTTATCGGGAACCATGTTGTGTTGAAACCAATAACTCTGAGCACACATTCATTCTCCGAACGTATTTCAAAGGAGCAAATTGACAATTTAATGAATTCTTGCAGCTGTGATGGAGCAGATGATCAACAAAAAGATTTGCCATTAGTATTTTCATTAGTAAATTCATTCTGTGATCAGGCCCGCCACAAGGGGGGGGGGGTGCTGGGTCTCTGGTACCGGGGCCCGTGTTACCCGTGAAAAACCACTACGAATTCACATGCAACCCTCGTTTCGTAAGAAAAAGTGAAAAATATACCCTAAAAATTTCGCAAAGGGTGAATAGATTTTCAGATATTCACGCTGGGGCACTGTAGAATTCTTCTTAAATTTTCAATGAAGTATACTTCTTGAAAAATTTCTATCTATTTTCAAGATTTTCAGTGCAGAGGGATATTTTTAGTAACTGCGTTTCATTTTCTTCCGTCGTCAGATGCTAAGAGTCTCCAGTCTGGGCAGCCTCGACTTCAATGGCTCATGGCTCAACTCCCTTGCCATAGACAAACGAAGGGGGAGTCCAGGGGGGCCTGGCCCTCTTAGAACTGAAAATAGTTTCACACGCCCCCCCTCCCCTCCAAAAAAAATACAATTTTTCCAGATGTTTTGAATGCAACAATTCGCAAGTATTTTGTGCTGAAAGTAGAAAAAAAACATGATTATTCCACAGAAATTGATGGAAAAATTCTTAATGGAAGCTTCAAAATGCGTCCGATTAGTCGTATAAATTCTAAAATTTCTCGGGGGATGCCCCCCGGACCCCCCCCCCCTCCGTGCTTGGGGCTCGGACCTTAAATTGGTACCAGGGCCCGAGATGGGATGTGGCGGGCCTGTCTGTGATGAAAAAGTCCTAGATAATGTCTTCCAGAACCTACTGAGTCATTACACGTAACATGAAATTTATCATCTATATAATTGTCCAGCCAACAGATAAATGTGCCTCATGGGACGGCCAATGTTGAGTTTCATCGAATTTTTATCCATCTGCCTTCTACCTATAACCCTTCAATAGCCAAAATATTTTTCTTGTTTTAAAATTTTATCACGTTTTCCTCCTCAAAATTACATGTTCAATCTAGTTATTCTAATTTCATTGTAATAGGGAAAGTAATTGATTTTCTGTAAATGAATGTAATGAAGAATTTGATTAAGAATTCAATTAAAACATCATCTTTGCCTTCAAGAAATCTTTGTAATCATTTTGAGGTATCATTCTATTCTTGCATTTTATTTATGGCAGTCCTTCTGTCAAGAAAAACATTTTCAATACATCCAAGATTAAGTACGTCTCTCTCTGAGCATCACCTACGACTCTCCTATGAAAACAGAAGCGCCTAATGAGCCTGACAGGTCGGAAAATCGTCCCCTGAACTTGAGATTTTGGCCCAATTTTTCCCAAATGGAATTTCTGATCATTTAACCATGGTTTGGTAGCGTTTAGCAATCTTTTCCAGTTTTACGCTGATAACTTTTTCTGGAATGGAAAAATCGAAAATCTGTTTGCATGACATGAAACAGCATAATAATCCAAAGAAATTTGTTTGTTATGTTCTATTCCAGCATTAAAATTGCTGGATCTTTACGAGCTGCTTGGGGGCATTGAATCTCTCGTTCGCGGAGACCACTGCGCGGCGCCCGCTTTGGGTGCTATCCAGCACGGTTGTCTAACATGCCTTTTTATTTTAAGGGGCCAATCGATTTGAAATATTCGTTGTAGGTAGGTAAAAGATGGGTTCTTGTATAAATACGATTTGTCCAAAATCTTGTCAAGCAAGTTGCCTACCCTCCTCCTCAATACTTAATGAAGTGATTTTGAAGAGGCACCTTGTGGCAGGCATTTTTCCGTCTGAGAGTGAGCTGAAGGTCTGCGGTGTGTTTAAAAGTATGAAGAAATCTTTCTAACATCCAACAGAGTCGGTTTTGTACATTTTTGACTTAATCAATTAGTTTTTTGGTCATAATTGAAATATTTAATCATCAATTACCAAAATCAAAATTCCGGCTTTATTAGGTATAATAAATGATGCAATTATCGTCATTTTAAAAAAATCCCTAGATGTCCACCTCATTTAAAGCCTGAGAAATGATTGTAAAGAGATGAAAAACATGGCGAAAACTGATTTATTTTTCAGTAGAGCAATACTAGTGAAAGTGAGTGAAAATAGTTGAAGGTGCAAGTGCATCATTTTCCAGAGGATCTTCATCTTATCCAATTTTTTCGAGTATTTTTTATCATGATAATTACAAAGTGACTACCTAATCTTCTTCATGAGATTTTCCTCTATAAAATTAGTGGAAAAAAAATCTAAGAAACATTTTACAGCCTTTTTTAGATGAAGTGGCCCCTTAAATTTTTCACATATAATGGCCTTCTACCTTAGTCTCTGGTGATTTGTCTTTTGTGGCTTCTCTCTTAGGAAATTGAAAGTGGCACAGAGACCCCACAAGAAAAACTCTCCAAATGTTACTGAAATGCGGTTGTCCATTGTCAAAACATAAGATATATTTAATCATAAAAATCCTTCTCCCATAATGTAAATTTTTGTTTTCGAGTCAATGTTGAAATATTTGACACGAAGGAACAAACTTATTTGGACAGAACTATTTAAATAAATCCTCATGCTGTTTAGTGCAAGTTCCTTACGATAACTTATAATTGCATGGATACGTGGGAAGAACTAAACCGTAAACAACACAGGGAATCAATTTACTTGGGAGATGTAACTATATCCGTGTCATTTTACTTTTTTAGCGATTTATCTCTGGTACTTTATCCTTAAAAGAGAGGAGTCCCTTACTATTAAGGAGGAAATAATACCGGAACAAAATGGTTGTCAACATCCACGGGTCATTCAACAATGCTTATTATGAACATGATGAGAAACGGGAGATTGTACCACCCAGGAACCACCTTTTTCCTGGTCGTTGATTATTCAGTTCACTTTTGGCCTTTCTATGACCACCGCGATTAACACTGCCTCTCACGTTTTTTCTTTTATCATTTACTTGTAAATGATGAATCTAAACGCTACCCACCCACATTGAAAATACCAAACCTTTGTAGCGAATATTCATTGTATTAAACTCGAGTATCTCTTGTTCAATTGTTACTTACCTTTTGATGATTTATCCAATTGTGTGAAATTATCAGACGAAATATTTGATGCCATGGAAGGAAGATCACACCCTTCTCCATTTTCCTCAGTCAGACATTTGATGCGAAATTTTTCGGCAACTTTGAGAAAAGCCTTTATACGGTTAGAGTCGATGTCAGCTTTACCTTGGTACATGAAGTCCAGTATTGATCGCATCTCACTAAATGAAATATCATACAGCACAACGAGATTTTTATCTGCGTTTTCATTAAACATGTCCTGCAACACAGAGAAAATACATTATTATTTTTACACAGTTAAAAGTAATAATCCTTTTCCGTTGTCTATAATATTGGCAGGAAAACAACAATCCATTGAGATTGATGTTACAAGACAAAAGTAGTCACATGTGTGATCAAGAGAGACCTATGCTGCAGATTTTATAGTGTGAGCTATTCTCTGCTAAATGAAGTAACTAGACCTTAAAAACCTTAAAAAGAAGGAGGGGTATGCAGAATTGAGGAATTCAAATATTATCCTGAAGTCTTTAAAATAACTTCATTTGAGAATTGACCGGACCAGTTGAATGTTGACCAGTTGAATGTGAACAAGCTTAACGTGAAAAAGGTTATGTGAAATGAGTGTTTGGGAAGAATTTCTCAATGTCCTTTCATTCAAATTTTTTCTGCTTGGTGAAACTGCACTTGTGCGCCTTCTCTTTCAGCCTTTTCAAATGTGGGCATCAGGAAATCTCAGACATCTCTCTCAAGAACCGGAAAACTATATTTGCACCTCTTCTTGTTACCTCTGAATAGTGGCAATCTTTGGAGCTGCCCCGATCTGAGCTTTCCAAGCACCTCTCGCACAAATCATCTAAAGAATTATTTTTGAGGTATGTGACTCTCTATGTTACACCCCTCACCACATTGATTTAATTTTTGTGCTTGTACTTTACGCTTGTACTGCAACCGAAAGCCGACAGGAATTTACTGTCATCTTTGTAGAGTTTACACACCAAATGTTCGGTTTAGACGAACATGTTATCGCCATCCACGCACTATCAATCATACAGATCTGCTGGAGTGTCCAAATTTTTCTGAGGTGACAGATCTCCAAGAGCTTCGGGAAACAAATCCTCGCTGATTTTTCGTTGGTACCTATTGTTTTTGTCCCTCCGGTTGTTTATTGCTTTTGGTTTGCCCAACTTCATCTCATTTAAAATTTAAAGGTTTACCTTGTTTATGGCCATCAATACTCTTGATTTTCAACTTATCTTATCGTGTGTAACATGTTTAAGTTATGATTGATATTTCCTCTCGAAACTGTTGTTGATACTTTTTTTCTCAGCATGTGATACTATGATTGTTCTTTCTAAGTTAATTAATTAGCCTCAGAATCAAATATTATGTACCCAAGAGTCAGCATTCTCGTTTCAATTGTCAAAAATAAAAATAAAAAAAAATCGTTTTCATAATATTATTTCGTAACAAATTTGTCATCCGTTTTTAGACAAAAGTTTTCCTTTAATCATGTATGAATAAATAAATTCCCTCAATAAATGCTTAAAGTAAAATACAGAAGAAGGTGATTGGCTCATTCAGCGGCATAAACTTCTAGGTGTTTAGGACGTTTGGTACCTCCCTTTTCCATGACCTGCGATTCTACCGAGGAAAATCTCATATCGACGGTGAAACTACCAAACCACGTATCTCGTTTGCGGTGTTTAAAAATCTACGCTCGCATTTTATTTTTTTGAAGTCGACCAAATCAATATCATTTCTTGAAATTTTCACAGAATTTTCTCCGCACAAAGAGGAAAAATCACAGAAATTGTCAAGACTAGACGTTAAGTAGTTTTTCATTTAAAAAATAAAGTATGACAGGAAGTCTGCGACGTCGCAAACCGAGATACGTGGTTTGGTAGTTTCACCGTCGATATTCAATTGCTCCTCGTATATTTTTCCCCGTATTTTTCCTGTGAGGAATTTGTGATTCAAAGATGTAGCTCTCATGAGAAATTTCAGTCCATTCCACAAAACGTGTTGTTACAAGAAACTATAATGTTTTGCAAGGAGTTGGCTTAGTAGCTTTAGTGGAGAAAAATGAGTTAGGACAAATAAAAGAAAACTGATCGAAAAGTGTAGTCTTTCATTTAATCATTATTATCATTATTGAAGCAGAATCAACGAAACTACGTGAATAATGCCTAATTGCCGCTTATGTTTCATTCTTAATACGTAGCAAAGTAAGCAATGTAATCTTCCAAAACTCTCCTCAATTCGTCCTTAAATTATAAAGAGGAACTTTTCAAAAGGTGAAAGTAAAGTGTAACTTTTTGTTTCTTCCTATCTAAGTAATAAATAAAGTATAAGAAAAAAGTAAGTAAAGTCTAAAGTATCCAATTTGAATCTGATCAAACCCGCCCAATCATACGTTACTTCACCCACCTTTCACACAGAATTGCAGAGATCAAATTCCGCGCCTCGAAAGTACACCTTAACCAACAATTTAAAAAAAGGAATGATTGATTTGATTCGTTATAGAAACTTGTGTCCATTAGCTTCCACATACAGGTGGGTATTTTAATGTATGAGTCATAAACAGGTGTTACTTTTTGCAAATTGTAGTCCACTGGCTTTATCATAGAATCTCTGGACAGTATAAACTTATTGTGTCTTATTCTGATCCAAAGCACTTCACAGACTATTAGCCAAAATGTAAGAGTAGGAAATAAAATATAGCACAGAGCAATTAAAACTCGCACAATAACAATCATATTTATCCATATATTTTGAAAACTAAAATTACTTACACACGCTTCTTATATATTTTACATATCACATATTATTATTTAAATGCTGTATTTGACACTATACAGTATTAAAAAGTTCCCCCTCACTAGCAAGGGATTTTCCTCAACAAGAATATTGATTCTGACCTCGTCTTTACTCTTGTCATGTACATTTATTTTATTTCATAACCATCGAGCCTCATCTTCGTAAGATTTATATTCGTCCTCAGGATACGTCACTATTGGGTTCCATTCTGTGAGAAATAAGTTGATAGAGGCTATGAAACTATGACTGATAGACAACTACACCTGTTGAAATAGAGTGGGAGAGCGAAATTAACAAACTGAAAATAAAATATTGGTAAACTTTCGTGCAATCTACTTATATAATCTGAGGGTCTTGAGAATAAAGAATTGTAACAAGATTATTGGCATTTTCTTTACAGTTTAATCTGTTAATATAATTTTCATAAACAATAATGAGAGTCTTAAAATTTGAATTTAGAAAAAGAAAAGATATTTCAGAATGAGTGAAATTAGATATGAAAGGATTCACCAAGAGTCCGTGAGAAAAGCAGTTGAGTTGAGGAAAGATAGAACTTGATCAAGAAGAAAATCATACTTGAAGCCAGAGTATCCTTGAGACATAACAAACCAAGACCAAGAGATCCGATCGGGCCGAGGCTCCCGGCGAGATTGAAAATGTTAACCGAAAGAGAGTAAGAACTGAAGCGTTATCAAAAAAAAAATGAAGAAGATGATGTATGTTGATAGGAGATAAAGTGGATTTTTATCGGTTTATCAGATCTTGGAAATTCAGAAGAAAAAGATATGTTTCAACTCTTAGGCTATTGCCTGTTATGATCACTGAAGATTTAGAGGTTGAAGCCTGAGCTGGTCAGTTCCCAAGGCTTACTATTTTTGATCCCCCGAGCTTTTCAGAGTTGTCCAGGAACCCGAAAGTTTCCTCATTATGGTGAGAGAGAAGTCTGTACTCGCATCGAATTACTTTTCTAATAAACTAGACGACTGACTCTACTCAAAAGCTCAATGGGTGTCAGTAAATCTGTAGTATTGTTTTGCTTCAGGCCTTTTTAACCTTTATTCAACAAGTGCAGGCCCATTTACGCCCCCCCCCCTGATTCCCTTGCCTCATTCCCACAAAACATGACTTGAGGTTTTTTTCCCCTTTTTTTTAAAAAGCCATCTGATTTCCGCCCATTTGGTATTTTTGCATAAGAAATGTGGGCTTACCATTAAAAAATGTTTGAGGGCCTTATCGATAACATCATAGTATAAGTGACAATTATTGAATTGACTTAATTTGATTGTGATTAATGATACGCAGACACAATTCCGTCTTGACGGACTCTGAAGTTTTCATAAAAAAAAATTCATCAGTATCACTATCATGTCACTTTATGTATCCCTGACGTCTGGGCAAACTTTATCTTCGTTTTTCTCAATTTCATGACCCTATCGAACCGAGACACTTGCATAAAAAATACCGTTGATGTGTGAAAAATCAAGAGATTACAATAGAGCAGGGCTTTCGAACTCACATTGCTCTTTAAGGATGTGCTTGAAGTATCATTAAAATTGAAGGCGAAATGAGACATCTGGTCTTGACTCCGACGAGCTTAAGGACGACCTGTTTTCGATTGAACCGAGATAGATATCCCAGATATCCGATCTTCAGAGGAACTGCAAAATCAAGCTATTCACTATGCAACGTTGCAGATTTATTGTCGTAAATAAATTTACCGAAAGATGATCAAGCAACCGTGACACTTGGTCTATTTGTTTAGTTTTTTCATGCCGTTTTTAAAAGCGGCAAAATTTTCTCACCAAAATTTCCCACCTACGGAGGATCCTAAACGAGAATCTAAAACTGTTTTCTTATAAATTATGGGACCCCTCCCACCCGAATTCTCTAAAACTGGGCAGAAAATTAACTATTTTCTAACGATTTTTGGCCGATAACTCGAAAACCGTTGATATTCAGGGTAGCTATGTGGTATTTATGAGTACTTCAAAGGAGATAAAATTGCGCTTATTATCAATTCAACCCGTACTTTCTCTGATGATAAATGGGCCCAACACACAGGGTTTTCAAAAAACAAAATTCTCAAACTTTCGTTTTTTGCTTGTAACTCTTTTCAAGAAATTTTAGAAGATAAGTTTACCTGTCTAAAATAAAGGACCCTACAACAAAACGGCCAAATCGGCCTAAACACGGAATTGTACGATTTTCTCAGGGATGACAGAGGGTCTTCCCAGACACTCAAAACTGGTCATATTTTTTGCCTAACCCCCAGGGAAAAGGGGGGAGAGGGGGTCAAAGTCAAAACCTTTAAATTAGCATAACTTCTCAACGGTTTGTCGTAGAAAGATGATCTTGGTGTCAAAATTTCCAGAAAAATGAGAGCTTTCAGAATATATGTATGAAATTAATTAAATTTTAAAATTTGACCCACTTTTGGGGCATTTTACAAGGTCCCCCTATCGTAAATTTTCGTTTTTTGAGATTTTCGGTTGTTCGGTTCGCACGGATCAAAACAAAAACAATTTCAAATAAAAGTAGAGCGTTTAAGCTTTAAAACAAGCCCAAGATGATCTTGGGGAAACGATTAGAAGCGGAGTTATGAGTCTTCAAAGTTGACGCGGCGCGCGGGAACCTTGTATGTTCCGAGTCTCAAGGTCACCTGCGCGCCCCGGATTGCCTGCAGGTTGCAAGTTTTGGTGTTTTTATGCTTCTGTAGGTCATTTTTAATGTAAATCATTCAATGAAGATAGTTTAATCAGAATTTTTTAAATTTACACAATGGGCCTTCGGCGAGGTACACCACATTAACGTCAAAAAATTTTAACTGCGTTTCAAATAGCCCCCTCAAGAATAACTGAGACTTGTTTTGAAGCTCAAAGCTCGTCTGCTTCTACGAGAAACTATTTGGCTTTACCAAGTGAGTTCCGTCAAGCGCTGTAGCTTATAGCTCAATTAAAAAATTTTAAAATTAGGGGTACCCCAAAATTTGGCATCAATGGGTTATAATTTCTAAATGGTTCAGTTCTGTATGGAGCCTATGTATATTTGAACTGAGGGTCCATGGTTCCTTCTAAATTATAAGAGCAGAATTGTCATCGTCAGCAAATGTTTAATGAGGTATGATGGACATAATCGTTGATACTCTAAGCCCCCTCCCGCTCCTCCCGTAAAATTAAAAAATGTCCATTATTCTATCTTCATTGAATGATTTACATTAAAAATGACCTACAGAAGCATAAAAACACCAAAACTTGCAACCTGCAGGCAATCCGGGGCGCGCAGGTGACCTTGAGACTCGGAACATACAAGGTTCCCGCGCGCCGCGTCAACTTTGAAGACTCATAACTCCGCTTCTAATCGTTTCCCCAAGATCATCTTGGGCTTGTTTTAAAGCTTAAACGCTCTACTTTTATTTGAAATTGTTTTTGTTTTGATCCGTGCGAACCGAACAACCGAAAATCTCAAAAAACGAAAATTTACGATAGGGGGACCTTGTAAAATGCCCCAAAAGTGGGTCAAATTTTAAAATTTAATTAATTTCATACATATATTCTGAAAGCTCTCATTTTTCTGGAAATTTTGACACCAAGATCATCTTTCTACGACAAACCGTTGAGAAGTTATGCTAATTTAAAGGTTTTGACTTTGACCCCCTCTCCCCCCTTTTCCCTGGGGGTTAGGCAAAAAATATGACCAGTTTTGAGTGTCTGGGAAGACCCTCTGTCATCCCTGAGAAAATCGTACAATTCCGTGTTTAGGCCGATTTGGCCGTTTTGTTGTAGGGTCCTTATACCCACAATGCTACAGTTTTAAGTATCAACCAGACCGGAAGTCTGCAATGCTGCAAAGGGAGGTACGTGGTTTAGGACTTCAGCCAGGAATATACCGAATTACATTCTTTAAATGCTTAATACTAAAAGTTTAAATGTGTCTACAAATTGGACCTAGTTTAACAGAAAGGAACCAAGCCACATCTGCTATTGCCAAATTTAATTGGGCAATTTAATTTTTTACGAGAGATCATTTGTGCGGATTCCTTTGAAATTTTTGAGGAATTTCCTTCAAATTATGGAGAATTTTCACTGAAATTTGCACGAAAATCCACACAACCGTTTTCATGAAAAAAATTAAGTTGCTCGATTAAATTTGGCTGTAGCTGATGTGGCTTGGTTCCTTTCTGTTTAACGCGGTCCAATTCTAGAGAACTTAGCCATCGACTACGGAAGTTTTAAACCTATAGTTATCAAAATACTAGCACCGCAAACTAATAAGTTTTGCAAAAATACCTCACATACAACGCAAACGATTCTTTTCAAACGTGATGGATACTTGATTTTCCATAGTAGTTTTCACAATAATCGTTTATAAATATATAAGAAGCATGTTGCGCTGACTTTTATTAATTATTTTTGATGACTTGAATTATTATACTCCCTTTTTCTTATCGTGCCACTCTATCCTCTCTATCGTTTAAAATTCAGCTGTTGTTCAGAGTTTAGGTATTCCATTTTATTCACGTCATATCAATTCTGAGTGACCATTACATTCTGATGATTTTTTTGATAGATTAATAGCGGCTATCAGACATCTTTGTGACATCATCAATCATGGAGTGATGAACTCTGCTTGTATATAATCCTGGATCATTTTCCATCCTTTACCCGACACAGCGTATCGCGCTATTAGTCTGCTTTAACACATTTTAAATCTTACTAATTGGTGATTGTTATGTTGTATTAATTTTTAAAGCCGTGAAACATTTCTCTCTTCATTTTGCTAAACTTTTTGGTCCGCATTTCACATATTTTCGATTTAATTTCATCGAGATGTGATTGTAGCTTTTGATGAAAATCAAAGGCTCGATAAAGCATGTCATACTGATGATGGTTTTAATGGACTAACTCATTGCTCTAGATAACCCTAGCTGAACATTTTCCCGGAAATATTTTTTGGGGGTTATTTACAACATAACACATTTTTCACTTTATAGTCAGAGTGGAAAAAGAAAAATACGTTATCATGATAAAGATACTAAGGCAAGAAGCGATCTCATTTTTGGTTTTTATGATTAGTCTTTTTACTGATGCGACCGCTTGCAATCATTCAGCCGTCGAAGAGATACAGACCATTGCAAGAAGACTTAGACTTTACCCTCATGTTATCAAAACCATTCCTTCGAATATCGTTGAGGTAAAACTTAACAAGCCTCTTACTTACAAAATCAATGATAAGAGAAACTGAGCGATTTTTTTTCGTTCGTAAATTTAGTGAAAGTCGTTACATTCGTTAAGATTTGAAATTCATTAGATTTTTTTAGAATTTAAAGAGGGTAAGAATTATATGAAACAGTAAAACTCATAATCATTAATGACAAAATCAATATAGTGAGCATATATTCTAGCGAATTTTAAATAGTTATTTATTTATTTACCTTGGAAGAGGGGATACTTCCGGTAGCCAGTATCACCGGTGGCCAATGCAACGTTAGCAATACATTAAAATATCCAAGGAGAGTTTTTTTTTTAAAATGTATTGTAAACTTAGTTTTTAAGATTTGATTTTTTGGAAGTAAATAACACCACATAATACAAGTGAGTAATTTCAACACGCTTCCCGAAAATAATAAATACTTAACCCTCTATCGCATGAATTAATTTTGGACCGCAGATTTTGTAATGCATTTTTTTTTCTGAAAGATCTTTGAAAAAAGTTGAGCCCCAATTTTTTTTTATTGGCGGGAATGGGCNNNCTCCCCCCCCCCCTCAAATGACCCCCCAAAGTGGTAGTTACATCTACGTAGGTCCATGCAACTTTGATTAAAAATAATAAAAAGAGAAGTTACATACATGGGGTTCTATGCAACTTTGGTAAAAACCCTAAAAAGGAGATGTTACACGAAAACCGTGCTTAAGTACATTTCATTGAAAAAAAAAAAATATTAGTCTTAGCAGACATTAGATATAAATAGAACACAGTTTTCACCAGCATAAATTAAATTACTGGTGAATATTAGCCATATGTTTATTGTTATTGGCCACAATCGGTTGCTTGCGGAATGACTTAATATGTAACTTGTCATTTTCGCCACCTGAGTTAGTTACATGAGATCAAATACATGTTATTCGGTTTTAAATCAATTCATTAAAAACCTACTTTGCATCTAATATTTCCTGTTATCACCTAAAAAAAAGTATGAGGTGTGCTGCAAATGCACATATTTTTTCATTGTCATACGACCTTTCTTACCAACCTAAATTCTTCGCAGAAAATATGTTGCCAGAGGCTCAGAGCCGACCTACGCAGCCCAAGGTTACCGAAAAGACACCTTGTTTAACCAATTTAACAAATTTAACAAAACTGGAGTAGGTTCCGTGATTTTCACCCAATTGAATTCAACCTTGGGCTTGCATAGATGCATTCAGAAACTTTGCTACGCTCGTGCAGTATTTTTAAAAAAAGAAAATACGTTTAATTACACATTCGTGTGCATATGCAATAGAGGGTTAATACCCATAAAAAATTAGTAAAAGTAGAGGAAAAGACGTGACAAAAGATGGCGGCTTACCTTCATCTACTTGCCGTAAGACTTAGTAAATGAATAAGGAAAGAGATTGTGAATTTCGGTAATTTTGGGGATGAAGCTCTGAATTTTTCGTACTCCTGTGCTGTTTGATATTTTGGATTCGCCCCTTCTCGTAAGGTTCACTGTGCGCAATCTCATTGCAATGAGGAAAAGGTATCGACCTGAACTGACTTTTTAATGTCTGTTAAAAAAGTTTTCATTTATTTTAACAACAGGTAACGTACGGTGGGCGTAAACTAGAATTAGGTGGGTTGTTGCATGCAGACGACCTTAATGACCCACCTCTTGTTTCATGGCCTACAAAGGAAGATGCCCTTTACGTTTTGGTGCTTTCAGGTAAGCGGCTCACTGACATTTCGTTAAAATGATTTTAAAACATGAGTAAGCACAGTTAACTGGAAAATATTTATCGGGTCCATTTTTAGCGATACAGTTCCGCATATTCACCGATTCATAGTTTTAGAAGTCGACAGTAGCATAATTTTGCCCTTCTTTGAATCAAAATACTGAAAATAAAGCGAATGTGTCCGCTTTGTCTTCATCTCTGATTGGGATCCAACCCAAAGATTCGATACACCAATATATCAACACATGTATTTTTTTTAGGAATTAAGACACGATTATGATGCTGAAAAGCATGCCTTAAATCTTTAGCCAAAACGTTGACGAATAATTCAAATAAGCACAAATTATTTTGATAATTGCTTTTCAGGTCCAGATGCTAGTGACTTGGACAGTGCACAAAATTCTTACGAGCATTGGTTAATAGGTAACATCCCTGGCACAGATTTAGAGAAAGGAGAGAAACTTTCTGAATATGTTGGACTGGTGAAAACCGCTTATAGACAAGGTAAGCCTCCTGCTATTCTTTTTTTGGACATTCAATTGGGGAGCGATTAAAAAACCAGGTAATTATTTCGGAGCGACTCACATCAATGATATGGGTTAACTTGACTTTCTGGACGCGCTTCGCGCGTCCGTCACGGCTGGCCGAGGGGCTGCGCCCCCTGAACCTCCGGTCACTCGCCACGCGAGTGATATTCGGCTCGCTTCTATGATCAGTTGAGCGTCTGATCACTATGATGTATACATTTTGGAGACTCTCAAGACGAAAATGATTTCGTAACAAAACCTTGTTACCGGAGCGTGCCTTCACTTGCACATTAATAAATGTGGAGGTGAGGTAATGATGGGGATCGATCATTTTTTCAAAAACGCATTTGCTTGGGACGTCAGTCCCGTGGGGTGGAGGACAGTGACAACCGTGAATCTCCTTGCACGATTTGACTTGCTGAAGTAGCAAAAGTTCATCTTTACTTCCTAGGAAGATTATCGGTGGCGTATAGGGGTCTAAAAAATGCTCAACGATAGTATGGTTCGAGTTCCGAATCGCTATGAGCCCACTTATGTGTGGTATTTTTTCTAAGCGTGCCAGTAGGGCTCGCTTTTTGAAATCACTCGGATGTACCATAGTACAGCACACCGATCAACCAATGCTATTCAACGGGCCGTCCAAATATTTTTTTCCTCGGACCCGTTTTCTTGTCTTTGAACCATTATACTGTCAAGCCCTGATGGTCTCTTACCAAAAAACCGACTGAACTGCTAATTGGGAACCCTTGAGAACATTTTCCTGTCAAAACCGTATTATTTCATTTGACAAAAACCTCATAGAAGCTTTCTTACGCTCGGAGGACTCAACCCTAGAACCTTCTTTCCCGCCAAAACTGTTTAGCCAATGAGCGTCTTGCACTGCAAGTGCAATCTGTGATGAGCCTCGTGACTCTTTATACCATGTACTAACCGTGGCCCCTGCAGAAATCCACTCAAACCACTGCAGTTATCTCCCGATATAGCTTTGGGTGTCAGGTTTCGAGCAAGGCAATAAAAGACGGCGAGGAGAGGGTCGCCTCGTCGAACCTATTATCTTCCACGCCCGATTAACCATTTACCGTGACGCCAGGATCCACCAAATTTTCACAAAAATTGTTTTCCGTCTATTTAGCGAGTTTTTCCTTACTTTCCGTTAAAGTACAAATAAAAAGAGACCTCATTTGTAAAAATCGGCCGAATAGGAGATGTTGTGTGCCCCAACATGCCTATATCTATCTATACCTATATCTATCTATACCTATATCTATCTATACCTATATCTATCTATACCTATATCTATCTATACCTATATCTATCTATACCTATCTTCCATCATCACTTACACTCTTACATTTATACCTCATATCCGGTCTCAGGACATTCCACCTATTCGCATGCTTTCTCTTCTTACGTCTTATCACCGGACTCTGCACTTTCTATCCCATCATTCCGCGCGGGGTCCGGACTAATCACCCTCAACCCTTGCCCTTCATTCATATCTGGAGCCATTAGCTGGTCACCGTTATGAGCTGATGAGACCAGAGGATCCGATCGCCAAAGTACTCTGATTTTGGCGCTGGAGTCACACGCCCGGCTCTCGACCTCCAGAAGATAGCAGCTAGTTTTTGTCACCTCACCGTTCGTTCGCTTTTCAATACATAAGTTCGTTTCCGTATTTTTGCCTTGCCTTCATTTTTTCCTATATCCGGTACTACCCGCAGAACATTACAGAGAGAAGTTACAGTTCGAAATCCAAAGAGATTAACTCAACGTGATTTCGATGCACGGCAGTTCGCCCAAATCACGGTCGTGCGAAATGCCGCATATCAGCTTAAAATCAAGATAATTGTACGGAATCTTTAAAATCAATTTACATTCAACGTTCATGAATCAATATTTTCTCCCAAATTTAGCAAAAAGTAGGTACCAATTGATGCAAATAACAAAGACGTGAAAATAGTAGGTATGTGTCCAACATTTTAGTTATTCGGCACGCTTTTCCAACATATTCATGTTGGATTTTTTTTTTTTTAGTTTCATTGCGTATAATTTTCTCTGATGTTTTTGTTTTATTCTCTCTGAGTACATAAGTAATTATATCCTCATTTCATTTCCTTTCCCTTTCTTTTTTTCCTTTTATGTAGCATATGTGTCCATTTACAATTATCATTTTAAAATAGCTTTCCTCTAGTATACATTTGGTGCTCCAAACGGAACCAATTTTTTTTTAATGACATTTCTGACTAAACCATGGCTTTTCGCGGGAAGGCAGCCTCTCGTCCCTCTTGGACTCTTCTGTTGCTAGACAAGTTTCTTTTTCAGCACTTTTCCCAGGTCAAATCCATGTAAAATATTCACATTTATCGCACAATCTGGCAACCTCTCGAGTAAAATAGGAAAAGGTGGAACTGTCTGAAAGGTGGAATCCCTTGAAGATTATATTAATGATGACACCACAAATTGGTTACGATAAAGGTCACATGTTAACCATCTATTACAACCGTGGCATTACATCTTAGAATCATTATAGTGTGCATGTCTTCTATTTACAGGTGAAACTCATCGCCTCATTTTTTACGTCTTCGAACAGCCTGATGGGAAGCATTTACAGTTCGAGGGAGAGCGAATAAAAAAGGAGTGAGTCATTTTTTATAAAAAAGTAGAGGTGTCGTCAGCTAGGTTGACGGTTGTTTACTTTCGGTTTGCAGGCGTTTTTGCGTCACTACTATTCACATGAAAACATCTGGCTCTCTCAGAAGCAAGAACACAAGCTTTGATAAGTTTTCAAACACTTTCAAACCTTGTAATACTTTAATTTTTAGCCACACAGAAATCACAACCACAAAAAAGTCCTAAATCATAACTGATAAGTATTTTTTTTACGATACGATCATGAGACTGATGTTTTTAGTGTGGATAGTAGCGAACGCCGCTTTGTTCAGAGGCCCAAATTCGTCGTTGGCGCTTGCAACCCGAAAGTAAACAACCGTCAACTTAGCTGACGACACCTCTAGTAAAGAAGAAGATTCGAAAATATGTGCACGCACCAGACGTGAAGAATCATAGCATAGATCTCCCGTCTTCCATACTTGAAAGCATTTCAGTGTGGTATATTAGGCTAACGCTAACTGCAACTTCTCGTTTTGACCGGGTAAACCGAGGTCGGTCGTCTATGATCCCCTGAATTATTCAAAGCTGACTTATTTAGAGCGTCATGTCGATAGTTTGAGTGTCCCACGAGTTCTGCACAGTTTCCTTTTTCGGACGAACGATATAAAAATGCGGTTTATGCGCAGTAGTAAATTGATTGCAACTCTCGATAAGAGAAGACCAACCCGAGCTTTGTAGGTCAAAAATTAACCAAGTTACAGCGTTTTGAAAATGACAAGTCGAGATGAACCCACCAGCATTTTTAGCATTTTTCCTTGAAGAGAAAACAAAGATTTATAGATTCCCAATGGTTTTCTCAAAATTTTATAGAACGTTACCATGAGCACCACCACTTCCTCTTCTTCACCGGACGACTGAACACTAGTTTTCTCCTCGAAGTACCTTTATGTAAGTACTCTCCACACAACGCCGCGCCGCGATCGTTCTTCCCACCCCTGCAAACATGTTTTTTTCAAAATCTTCATTCCTGAAGTTGCTCAAGGAGGTTTCAGCAGCTCCCTTGATTTCATTCACAGAACTGGACCTTTTGCCTCCTAAGCCCCTCTTCAGCGAGGGAAACAACCAAAAGTTGTTAGGTGTGAGTTCTGATCTATGGGGGAATGCGGGAGATGGACAGTCCCATGTTTATCCATAAACTCATAGGTGAACTGGGCCGCATGTGAGCAGGCGATACCCTAGTGCAGGGGCTTCATCCCCTCCATCTTTAGCGGCATCTAACGTAATTTCATCTGTACAGAGCAGTCACATTGATTGTCAATATGTCTGAAACTTCAATCGCAGCGCTTTCTTTGTAGAGTTTTTGACTTTTTAAATATTTGGCTCCATTTGAGAAAAAAATGCTAAAAATTCTTCAAGGATGAGCTTTACGTGTCATTTTCAAAACTCTTTAACTTGATCCATCTTCCCGAGGCAGTGAAACAGCAAAACATTTTTCTAGAAAAACAGTCACATGTCTATAAAGAGTCTGCCCGAAGTAATCTGGTTATACGAATTAACTGCCACGTTTAAACGCTACGATGTGTAAACTGGTGTAGGAACGCCTCGATTTTAATGCACTCAGTAAAACCGGACCACTAGTCTGGGTGAGATTTTAAGCATTTTAAGACAGGTCTTCTCATCAAAATTTCACGTAGATCACGATTCGTGCAGAGAAAATTACCAAACGTTCTTACTAACTGAGATACTAAGGTTTTCGATGCATAAATTCAAACTATCCGGACATAAAAAACCATAATTCTACCCGCGTTAAAGCGCACACTAAGCGTTACCATGCCAGTCATTGGATTATAAAAATATGACAATCTTTATCTCAGCGCACAGTGGATCGAGTCAATAGGACAGGTCGGACAGAATTTAGAAATTTCAAACGCTTAAAACTCTGGCTATACACAACTTTAAGGCTCTGAAAGTGGTTCCATCAGTTTTCTCGTGAAATTTTCTAGCAGACGTACCCCTTGAGAGGTAAAATGTAACGAAATAAACAACAAAATTTGCAGTTTTAATGGGCCTGTTGCAAACTTTTGCTAGAGCAAAACTAAGAGTTGTTTCTTATAGATAATGCCTCAAAAATCACGATGAGCGCATCGGCAAAGTCTGAAATGCACTCATAACTTCACAGTCTGCGAAAGAAATTTGCGGTTTTTTGAGCTTCCCGCTTCAAAAGCGATACTACGGCACAGGTGAACATTTTGTAAGAGGAGTCGTTCCATCGTCGGCAATACTCATCATGGCCGACGCCAATCCGCCAAAACACGTGTGATGGGACGAGATAATACCTGAACTGGATTAGACCAGATAACAATCGGCGTGTTTTAACGTTCATGTTTTCCACGCCCGCATTGATTGACCTTGAACTCTCCTCGAATTACGCGCAAAACTGCGCGCAAGTGTCGGCCATGATGAATATCGCCGACGATGGAGCGACTCCTCTAACAAAATGTTCACCTACGCCGTAGTATCGTTTTGGAAGCGGGAAGCTTAAAAAAACGCAAATTTCTTACGCAGACTGTGAAGTTATGAGTGCATTTCAGACTTTGTCGATGCGCTCATCGTGATTTTTGAGGCATTATCTACAAGAAACAACTCTTATTTTTGCTCTAGCAAAAGTTTGCAACAGGCCCATTAAAAATTTCATGTCCGACCTCTCGCACTGACTCGATCCACTGTGCTGCGCTTCGGCTCAGCTATTGCAAGTTGTTCACGCTTTGAACACCAATGGGGAAGGAAAACTTCTTTTTCAGAAACCTGCCGTGACCGTTAAATTGTGCGATTGTGTTCAAATTAGACTCTCGTTTTTTATATATTTCAATGAAGATTATTTCCAACCAATAATGCTGAGCACGATAAGAACGTTAACATCTTGATTGGGACTTGGGACTTAATTATGGTAATTTTCACTATGCAAACTGCTTGTTCTACGTGATATTCGTGACAATATTATATTTTCAATAGGACGAAAATTGTAAGTGGCTAAGAGTATTAGTGTATGACAATTAATATTCTGCTCCCTGAAATATCAAGATTATTTTCTCCAGGTAAAAATTGAAGTTTTAATCTGTGCAGGTTAGAGGTTACAACATTATTTTATGTCGACATGTTTCAGGGACACTGGCAGTATCAGAAAAATGCTTTCTCTTGATGCTTTTGAGAAACATTATAAACTGGGAGACCCGTATGCGATCCATTTCTTTGAGGTTTTCTTCAATACGACACATATGTGATGATGTATGATATTTCCGCAATGAAATCATTACGTGTGCGCATAATTTGTTAAAAATTAATCTCCGTTTCTTTTTTTCTCGTTATCTTTAGCATCACCACTAATGATACTATCACTATTACTATACTTCTTTACTTTTTAGAGGGAGATTAATCTAACCCTTTGACTGTCACTGTCAGCCATGTAACTAAACAGCTCTCTGATCGATGGGAACTCGACTGCCGTTCGATAAATTAGAAAGTGCAATTGCATCGTGCAGGGTCGATCTTTCAAAATATGATCTAAACAAAATTGATTCTTCGAAGCATCTTTGAATACAGCCCTCTCCCTTATTTTCTCGCCTTCTGCACTTCTCAGACATGTATCCACTGGGCATACGTCCAGTTCCAGATTGCACAGTCTTCCAGGGTTGGCTGCACAACAGGGGCGCATTTTTTGGGTCGAGAGAAAGTTGATTTCTTCCTCCAATAGTGTTTTTTGTCTCTTTTTTTTAAGTACTCTAGTTCGTCGAAACTGCAGTCTACCTCTAAAATTTTTATGCACGTTATCATCGAATATTGGCGACGATTATGGACCGTAACTGGTGTAAAGAGGTTTTCCTCGCTTACTGTTTAGCGCTAAATGCATCCATTGCCTCAGAAATATTCAAAACTCAAAAAAAGAAGAAGAAAAAAAGGTCAAGAAGAGATTTCAAGAGGTCTTGGTTCTTCCAAATAAGAGTACGCGGCTCTCCTTCTTTTATTTATCATTTGTATGCAGCATGAGGTGGTCTAAAAATGTCTCTTTCTTTTTAGAAGCAAAGATTCGTAGAAAAGTTTTGCTAAAAAACAAAATTGTGCAAGAAATTTGAAAGAGATTATTGGATTTAAAAATAAAATTATAAGATTTCACATTTTCCGTAAGCAATTGAGATTTCGATATTTTTCATGTTATACCTAAATCCAGCACTAAATATTACAGAAAAAACTCTTTATTACATGACTTTGGTCAATAATCGTCATCAAAACTAGGAAAAAACTAGGATTTTCTTTAGAAGAATTGAGTCCCGCAGCTCCAATTTGGGATATTCTTGGAAAAAATCTCATGAGGGAAAAAAATCTTATAAAGAGCATCGACGGTAAAACTACCAGATCCTCTATCTCGGTTTGCAACGTTGCAAATTTCCTTTCATCCTTCTACTTTTTTGAATAAAAAAGTACTCAACGTCAATATTCTTGGAGACTTCCGTAATTATACTTCTCTGTGTAAAGAAAAAACTGTGTGTAGTGAAAACCTCTAGGAAAAATGATGGTTCGTTCTCCTCCAAAAAAATAAAAGGGAAGCGGAAATTTTTAAACATTGCAAACGAGTTACGTGATCTGGCAATCTCACCGTCAAGATGCTCCTATAGTCAGGCGTTTATCATAGAGATACAGTTAAAATATAAAACTCCACCAAAAAGTTCAAAAAAAAATATGAAAAATTCAATATTAAAAACTGTGCAACACACATATAATAAACACCCATAGTAGTAGGTGCAAATATAATTTAATACGCATGTCGGAAATGTTGGCCATCGGTTTGATTTTTAAACTCGAAATCATGAAAAATCAAATTCCTTACATGAACTGTTTCCATGTTGGATTCTCTAAATTATATAAGGTATGCATGTTTCAATAGCTACGGGTGCTTAAGCACCTTTAAAAAAGAGAGATTTACAAGAATGGGGCGCCAAGAACGGGAAACGAGGAATTCATAAAATATGATCGAAGAGCAGAGGTCCTTGAACTCCCATTTTCATTACACTCTCCACTTGACTGACACAATTTTGAGAGAATTCTTAACTGATAAAAATTTTAATGCTGTTACACATTTCGACGGTGAAACTACCATAACACGTATCTCGGTTTGCGGCGTTGTAGACTTCCTGTCATACTTTATTTTATTTCCTGGAAAACCACTCAACGTCAGTTTTTGAAAATTTCCGTGATTTTCCTTCTTAGTGCTACGAAAACTCTGTGAAAACCTCGAGGAATGAAATTGATTTGTTCTCTGTCAATAAAATGAAATGGGAGCGGGGATTTTGAAACACCGCAAACGAGATACGTGGTCTGGTAGTTTCATCATCGATTTGTATGTAATATGAGAAAGTGTTGTTAAACTGACTCAATATTCGACACGAAGCGATTGATCTTCTAAGCGTGGTTATCCCATGTCAGGATTGAGCATATTTCCATCGTCCCAGTATTCCGTGGGCAATTCCCAAGTTTCCGCTGTTGTCGTTGGCAGGGGTTTAACCCATTGACATAAGAAAAAGCTGACAGCGATCGGATCGCCTAAATTGTACTTCTTAGCAAAACTGCGTGTTGAAAAATTTGCCCTTTCGCTATCCCGGGCCCTGAAAATGTCAAAAATCATTATCAGTTAAGAATTTACCGTATCTAGTAATATCATTCCATGAGAAAACCAGCACATTTCATTTCGAAGAGATATTTTATTGACTGATGATTGCATGAAGTGTATTGAACCTCAATCTTTGTGAATATGAGAAAATCCACTCGCCAGCACTGAAAACTTTTGCAAGGAATTTTTCTGATATTTTCTTTTACTTCTTTATTGTTAGTTACCACTCAGGTCTTTTTATAGACTTCATGGCTAATCGCTTATCTAAAAAAATTCTATTTTGTCAAATGACGACTTAAGATAGGCAAATACGTACTATCATTATGGTCGGTTGATCATGAATATCCACCATTCAGCGTTTGAAGACGCGAAGTTACCTCCTGAGAGCTTGTTTAATTTTAAAACGGCAATTAAGCTCTTTTTTTGTCAAAATTATGAGTGATACCTCCACGAATCACCATTCTTTTAAATGCTATTTTTCACGACACTAAAATTACTTTCAAAACTTCGTTACCTACTACCCTTATTCGTCACAGTAAACAGTTTTACGTTCAAAAAAAGAAATCAATACTAACGGTCTTCAGGCCTCATGCATCAAAGTCAAAAGTTTCATTACATTTTCAGCTAATCAATTCGATAATTGCATTTTGATGTTATCCTTTATAATGATACATGAAAGTTTGAGCTATTTTAAAAAATCATAAGGATATTGGTATTTTGTATTTTATTTTTGTTACTTGAAGAAGATTAACTGGCATTTCTTTTAGAATACTTATTCGGCCTGAACTTATCAATATTGAATCTGTTTAATAAATGATCACGTATATATATTGTGGCAGAGGCGGGTCCAGCAATTTGGCAACACCGGATTCTCTTCATTTAAACCTATGCTACATAATCGATTCTTGTTTGAGCACTTGGCCCCTCCAAGAATCGATACATTTCCATAGGTTTAATTGGAGAAATTGCAATGTTACCAATTTGCTGGATCCGCCAATGTATATTGTGGTGATTTCCTACGCAATAGTCATGATTTTCTTTAAATTGTTCCTCTACAATTGGTGCTCCTGACATAGCTTTTCCTCAAATAAATAATTTATGATTTTGAATTCTCATTCCGTCATTGCATTTTCATTGCTAGTAGTAGCAAAATTTTAGTAGCCAACAGTCACTAGCCCCGCGAGTGACAGAGGGTCCAGGGAGCGAAGCCCTCGACTAGCGGCGCAAGCGAGCGTAGCGAGTTGAAGCAGCTAGTTACATTTTATGTGTATGTACGTTTTTTTAGGGGCACAGTGTGCTGATAATGTCTCAGCAAAATCTTTTTTGGGACAACTTAAACGTCTCTATCATCTTACGGTTTGCCATGTTTAATACACGATCAGATTTTGGGCAAGTAACACGACTATCTTGAAATACTTACTTGTAAGACAACAGCTTTTCTTTGAATTCAATTCGACCCATCGGTTGCTTGTATACCAAAAAGACAATGCGATGGAAACCTGAAAAAATAAACTTTAATTTATAACTTTGCATTTGACATAAAATCATACAAAAATGTGCCATTCCTCATCGGCACAATTAGATTCCCAACGCACTTTATGAAAAGCGTATCGTCAAGAACCAACAGCAAGTTATCTCCTTTCTTATATTATTATATCAAAATCGCAATTGCCGAGTCTGGCTCAGGAGTTGATTTTTTCATTTTTATGTTGTTCAAAAAATTGAACTAACTTGAAAAATCGCAGTTTTTCTCTTTAAAATAAAAATAAGATACCTACATTTTGGTGATCTATCTTAATGCACGAACATAAAGGTAATCTCAGATACACATTAGGGTGCCACCTAAGAATAATTTTTCCGACTTTATCCCCCCCTAATTTTCCCCTTGCATCTCTCTAATGAAAGAATAATTGTAAATGTATGTTTCAATTTTTTTTAATTACGCTCGTTTTTATAGTATGGCATTTTTCATGTATACAGTTCTGTATATATATTAAAAGAAAAAAAAAGAAAAAAAAAGAAAAAAAATCTGAATGGGATGAAGTGCGGATTCACATAATTTAAACTTATGATCCATACTTATAGTTTTAAGGGGCGAGGATGTAGAGACTGACTTGAACTTTTGTTGCGTATGCGCCTCTAGATCAAACATTTTTGAGGAAATTAGTCCATTGTTCCACCTCTGCGCTGCATGGTAGAAACACTTAAAGTACAAGAACACACTTGAGCGGTATAGTGAAACTCTTTTCAGTATAAATGCGAACCCGCGATCGTCGACAAAACTCAACAAATATGTTTAATTTAAAATTTGGTACTTTTGCAGTTTTATTTTCAGGCAAACTTTGCAGTACTTTTAATTAAATAGTAAAATGTCTAAATAAAAACGGGCTTGGGGGCCTTTTATGGGGGGATTTCCCCGTTCAAGATCAGAAATTAGCAAAGCTTACCGGTTCCCTTCTTTGGATACGGCGGAATGTACTTAGACATCATGTCGGATTCGAAAACATCCGGTAAGAAATCGCCCTCTTCAACCGCCACGTGGATGTTGCCAACCAACCAATGTTGCCACTCCCGCATCTTTGGTTTGTATTTTGAGGGGGAGTCAGGATCTGTGAAGATAGATAAATCGCTCACTATGTAGAAACGGTCTCGAAATAATTAAGCCTGCTCGGATCGCAGGAAACAGAGGGGAACGGCCGCCATTTTTAGGGAAAATGAGTGAATGGTTATAATCTGAGTGATGAGCCTAATCAGTTTCTTTGACGTAAAAAAGTGTTAGGACTTGTTCCCTAAAATTTTTGTCCTACCTGAATTTCTTAGATGAACATTTCCAATTAATTGTAGTAGTACTGCAACATGTGGATTGTGGGTTAGTAACCTTATTTATTGGGGCACTACCACCGTTTACTGGAAATGCCCGTATCATCCAAAAACAAACATACCTCTTGCTTGTTCATGTAACGTATCACATACCTTCAAAAACGATATATTTAATCCAGAATTTTGAATTTATATTAGGGATGCTTAGCTTTGGGCGTTTGAATTTCACAAAAGGAACCCAACGTCGCAAAAATTGCGTAACTACAAAAGAATTATTCAACTTCTGATGGTAGTGTCAAGCGGTGGCGTATTTATCAATACACCAATACGATTTTTAGCGTTTTCCTGTCGGACGCTAAGCATATCTAGGTAACTGTAGGTTAAAATTTCTAAAGCAATTAAAATTGTTGGTTACAATTTTTGGTAACTGTGGGCACTTATTCGCGATAGGAACCACGATCCCGCCTAATTGAGAACGGTTTGCACTGAAGGGGTCCAGTTCGAGTCGGTTTCCTTCCGTAAATTCACTTACAATCTTGAAAGAGGTCAAGACAAAAAAAGTTGTGAATTTGTTTTCCTCTGTGAAATGATTCCGTTCAATTCATAAAAACATAGAAAGGAACTAGCCTCATGAAATACTTAAAGTCATAAATATATTCAATTATTTCGGTCAGGTTCAAAAACGCTTTTCAGTCATGATAAGTGAAATTTCGAGTGTTTTAAGGGATTTGTAAACGCACGGGAGCGCTATAACTTTTGACTTGATTTTCTCAAAACGGCTAAAGAGCGGTTTCGCTCCTTCTTTTTAAATGTGATCAAATTTCGTTAAGATAGCGACGAAACCGAAGACGGTGAAAATTTGGTCGCAGGAATTTCAAGAGCAATTCGCAAGCCTCTGAGAAAGAAAAAAGCGAGCTCATTCGGCTGAAAATTCACTGACAAATTACTGTAGATCAGTTAGGTATAGGTATTATTTGTCACAAACAGAGTCGGCCTCAGAGAAGTTTAAATCCTCGTGACTTTTCTCATTCCGTACGGGACACAGTAAAAATCAAACAACAATACTCCTTACCTGTCATTACTAATGTGTAGAGAGACGTATTGTCACATGGCCAGTTTAAAAGATATGGATACCAGTCCAGGTAATTGGGGTCTAAAACGTTTCCAAGTTCAGGCATCTCATCATTTTCTCGAAACAGGGCCTGTGCGAATAAAATTTAGAATTATTCAATACAAAATACACGATCATATTTATTATCAATTCCAAAATATTCAACTACTGCGATCTTTGTTGCGATCCAAAATGGCTATAAATGCGCGTAATAATTCCTATTCTCTTTGTTTACATCGGATGACCGGTCCCCTTGTATCGAAAACAATCGACTGTGTATCGAAAAAGTGACCCGGCGTGACAGAGAGGTCTCGGAATTCGGGACCTGGGCAATGCTCAAAAGTGGTGCCAGCTCTCCCATTTACATTACGACT